TCATTTTGTTCTTTTCGTACCGGACGTGCAGGCGAGAGAATTGTTGGCCGCCCGGACACCCTCGCTGTGCTGCAGGTCGTACAGCGCCTGTGAAGGTATCCACAATCGTTATTTTACCTTGGCTGCAGAATACTGAAAACGAGCTGAACAGGTTCAGTCATTAGTGTAAGAGTATCGCCGTGCTCTCAGATTAAGTTAAGTCTCTCAAGTCTCTACCCATGCATCTAGACGCGAACTACACAGATGATGGGATATATATATATGCAGAAAAACAGAGTGATAATTACGTAAAAAGTAGTCTTTTAACATTATACTTGGTTTTGCTGGGACTGAATTACCACCAAATTATTTATTATTACTATTACTACTAAATTTGGCATACTCTTACCTGAATATACTTCCAGGATACCTCTTCACCATCCAGTTGAAGTCTCTTGTATTCACCAAGGAGGTTTCACCGCAGTTTCAGCATGTGCACCACATCCAGCAGAACAAACACCTGGTTGGTTGCAGGAAGCGGGAAGTAGTTAGGAACAATGGGAAACTGAAGTTGTTTTGGCTGCAGGTTCTGAACGCCCAAGTGGCCGAACATGGACAGGTTGGCTTGGAGTCCATCGGCCACGAACGCTCGCACCTTCAGTCCTGCATCGCTCAAAGCACACAGAACAGTCTTGGCCCGTTCTGTCCGAGTATCACTTGAAATGTGGTCTGTGAGAAAGTAGGCGACAGGATGGCACCACACACCTTTGAGACCAACGGCCATGAACACTAGGATATTTGTTGCCAGTCTCGTGTCCTCCGCGTCCCCTGCACCCAAATCAACATGACCAACGAACTTGTCTTTGGGTTGCGAGTACACATTCGCCTTCCGGATCGCCATCTCATCAACCATCAAGCAGCAGTTGGGGTCGATTTTCTTGGCTGTCACTTCACAGCACAGCGTCTGTAGCACCTCGTGGAGGACGCCCACCTCACAGCTGACGCTTCTCGTCCACTCTCGTAGCAATGTTGCACACGGCAGTGAGAAGTTCTTTGAGAGGAACCTATATGCTCTCGGGGAATAGTAGTGGAAGGTGAGGCAGAGCTTCTTGATTTCTTCTGAATACCTCTGGCCACTTCGCTTCTTCCTGCCACCATTGACAACTTCGTTGGTGAAAAACGCTGACACCATTAGGTTTTCAAATCGAGATCGGATCACCTCGAGAAGCTCGGCATCGACGATCCGGCTTTCTTTGATGGCATCCAGAGTACTTTTGAGGCACTTGGGCCGCCTGTCGCGCCTCTGCAGCTTCTGTCGCAGCTTCTTCTGCTCGTAGTGCAATTTTCGAACCTTTGCAGCCATCTTTTTCAGTGGACTGGAAATGTGTCGAGTTGTTGCACTTGCGCTATAGCTATGCTCTGGGCCACCTGGGTGATGTTGGAGCTTCACTGGGGTGTGCTGTAGCAGTTGCTGCTCTGGTGCAGGCTGAAGCTGTTGCCGCTTTGAGGCAGGCTGTAGCAGTGCCTCCTCTGGAGCAGGTTGCAGCAGCACACCCTCTGGGGCGGGCTGCACCTGTGCCTCCTCTGGAGCGGGCTGGTGTGGCTGCCCGAGAAGCAGGTGCCTGACATGCTTTGGCTTGGGTGGAGTTGTGCATGGGCCAACACGCCTTTGGGGATTTTTGCGGGCCACTGGCTTTGTCTACTCGGGGAACATGAACCATGATGGGATGCTTCCCTCACGCAGCATTCTGCGTTCACGGTATGGTTCAAAATCAGCCTCTATGAAGTGGTCACTGCATAGAAGTGCACTCTGAGAGGGCTTCCATGCCCTTTGCTTTTCTCCCTGGCGTCTTGTGGCAGTGATACACTTCCTCAGCAGCTTCAGGTCATGATGAGGGTACCTGGAGCAGAAACAAAAAATGCATCTTCAAAATGCACCTCATACACCTTCCACAGCATTTTTCACCCCAGTCTGATTACATCTGGTCCACATTTTGCAAGCATTACACCCAGCAGAGCTGAGATCCACATTATGACCATGTCACCTTAATGATCTGAACGCTGTCCTGCATTATGTAACAAATGCATGCCATGCATCACAATTGTCACCATACCGCAATTTGCCACATTTATGTTGTTGCCACAATTGTCACCATGGCACCATCACCATTTGCAGATGTCTTATGAGCTGGAGTGGTAGTTAGGTGCCATTCATATTCCACGACGCAGAACATGTCCCTTAGATGGGGTTATGTCTGGTTGTGTCTTTGTACTCAAATGAAAATTTGCGGTTGTAAGTGGGCTGCAAGCTGGAATTTCATTGTATGTTCCCTTCAGACAATAGCGAGGCAACTTGATAACAAGTTCCATATGAATTTGCGCACTTAGACCCTGTCTGGAAAGTTGAAATTCGGGTATCACCGGTGTGGGCCTCTCACTTCCCAGCACAGTCTCAATCAACAGAATCTAGTATGAAAGTTATACAATTTTGTTGTCAGCAGATGCACAGGACATTTGTGAACTCCTCTAGCACCTTCATTTAGCTCTATATACAATATGATAACAATAAAAAGCATTTTGTCACATACCTGTCAGTCAGTTAATCTACTAAATCTGTGGTGCAGCAAGCAGTGTGCAAGGCCCACGCCAGCAATAACAATTTTTTTAGTTGTTTTGTACACAACTTTTTACTGTGAGGGTTTAAATCAAAGCCTAAATTCTGGGCTCTATGAAGTATACACAAGTTCAGTTGTTGCTGAGGTTGAACTGGATTACAAAATGTTGCATTTGGCACAGTTTTAACCGTTACGAGGATTTCTTAGAGTGCAAAGAGCTAAAACATCCAGCTGTTTCAAGACACTCGTTTGACTCTGTCTTTATCCTAAAATCACATGACAGGGAGTGGTTTTCACTGCCTAGTTTACGTCTTGTCTTGGCCAGCGTAGTCTTGTCTCATGAGCTCTAGTAACCATGCAAATAGCATGCTTATGTTGCAATTTTCCACTCCAAAGGAAGCAAATGCAATATCAATGCCGTGCCAGCACACCATCAGTGTGGAGTAGCACACGACAGCCTTTCGGAAGTGATAAACATTGATGTCGCCCGTCCTTGAAAGGTACTTCCTTCTGGTTCCTAGATGTTCTTCATTCCATCTTCCTACTTGCCAACACGCATATTTATTATCCTACAGGTGGATGCAACTGGATTCGGTTGTGATAAAATGCCTAGATGATAGCAGGAAAGCACACAGCGTATCAGAACAAAACAAATTAAGGAGATAACTTTCTATCCCCATCTCGATTACCAGCAAATGCGCAGGGTGACAGTCATGGCGCAGACCCGCAAACAACAAAATCACCAGTTTATGCACGATCAAGCTCGAAAATACTTACTTGTGGAATGACAAGCAATCTCCATGTCTTGGCCGATCGCCCTGCCTCTTACTACACCCGATCGCAGAGCAGCTTCTCGTCAATTTTCGCTCCATACGGCACCGCGAAACGCCCGCGTGTAGCAGTTCCAATGGCTCCCCGCAGAAAAACGCTTGCCTTTCTACAGCGTTGCCGGGCGGAACGTTTTGTAAAATCGAGAAGTTCGTCTAGTCCTTTATAGATCAATGGTTTTGACAGGTTCCTGATATTACGTCTATGCCAACTTGAAATAGATGTCTTCGTTTGCTGAAGCATCAGTCACGAGCTCATAAGTTCCATTTTTTTAATTGATTTTTCACTCCCGCGTGGTCTTTTTGCGATGGAACTTTTCACTCTCACCCTAGTTCAAAAGCGATTCCAGCTCCCTGGTGGAACGTCATACGTTACCGGAAAAGGCGGAGCATCTGGCAGTATTTCCCCATCAAGAACGGGGCCCAGGTGTGCATCCATTTAAGGTGAAATCTGGCTCCCTTCCAAGACCAATTCCGACCAGTCTAAAAAGGACAGCATGAAAAGCATTGGTAATCACATGCTCATGTAGGCCCATTGTATATAACTGAAGCTTTGTTAAAGCCACATTGGATATATCTTCACATTTTCTTAAATCATGTTATTGGTGTGTACGCTTACTTTTGTCAATATCACATGATTCTGTCACATACTCTGCATTAAAGAGTAGGCTTTAAAATGATATGGTTAGTCCTGAGATGTAACCTGCCAATTTGACCATGGTACTCACTATTTTTGTTAAGTGGGAAAGGTTTTCCTTTATAAAGCATAAACACAATTTCAAACTACCCATGCTCAGGTTATCTTAAGAATTAATTCATTTAAGCATCCTCAAAGTTCCATTTACTTCAGAAACTACTGCCTGCATCTAATGCCACTTCCAAAGAACTAGGCCAGTGCTAAGTTTGGGCTGTAAAAGACAAATAACTAACATCATGATGAGCTAGTATTTTTGAAGGGCTGAGATTCCTTTACTGCGAAAAAAAGATCAATCTGGTAAGTGATGCCCAGTCTGAGGTAATTTTGAACTGTTTTGCCTCTTCTCTGTGCACGCATTATGACTTTTTTGCTGTGGCAGCTATATGCTGGGATTGATGTGACACTAATTTTGATCATATATTTGCAGCTACTGGTCATTCCACCTTACAGCTTTCAACAACAGCAAACATCCCATTGATATATGGTACCTTTTGTGACTTTATCACAGTTTTTGTGACTATAAACAGTCTTCAAGGCTGGATCATTCCTCACAAAAACCCATTGTGCACTACAGGTCACTGTATGGAAACGAGGAGTTCAACCAGCTATTCTGAAACTGTTTTACCTCCCTGTTCTGTGCATTTTTTCTCTGCTCTGTACATATGCAAAGGCCCGTTGACCCGCAGCACCGGCAATGAACCAAATGTTTTGTACCTGAATTGAAGAAGAATTGGAAAAAAGCATTGGCGTCTGCATACGTCTCGGCTGGCGAGCTGTCGCTGCCCAGTGTCTTCTTTCCGTTCATCGAGTGCCGCACATCCATTGCCACAACTCACTGTCATGACCGGGCTGGCAAAAATGCTTGTGCGGAGCTGTGTCATGATGTACGGCGTGGACGACCTGATGGCTCATCGCGCCCGCCAGTACGGGCTGTCGCATGGACGTCCGAAGCAAGTGGACTGCTGCATGAACGGCCATATGACTACCCATAAGGAATGAGTAACTGGCTGACCGTTCCTTGCCGTTCGATCCTGAGTGATGGCGATGAAATGTGCTCCAGACAATTTGATGTAATGGTATCGTCCAAAAATGCTCTTCACGCAACTTGTGTTCTGAGATTATCAAGCAATTTGTGAGGACGCTTACACTCTGCTGAGCTGTGTGAATCGGCATACCCATGGATTAGGTAAACAGCTGGCATCTCAACTGGCATCACTGCTTAGTGTGTTGCTTGACAATAGCTCAGGAATAGGGGTGGGTGGGAGGGAGAGAGAAAGAGCAGGAACCAGGGCGTCTCAGCCCCGATTTTAAGAACATGAAGCATTGCTGTCATGGGCGTTGACTGGAAATAAATAAGCAAGAAGGGCTGCCCGGCCTCCTGCCAGGGAAAAATTCAATAGCACATTTCAGTGGGTGTGATCCTTGTCGTTTGACAGAGGGCGATGTACTGCAGTCGCACGGTGTGAATGGGCTTGGCTCAGTTATCACCGGTGGCTGCGTATTTGTGCGGATGCACGGTTCAGGGTTGTATAGCCGATTCTCGCAATCGCTGACCAATTGCGGTAGTGTTCGTCTGCGACGCTCGGACATTCTTTTCGGGTCTAGCGGTGACCAGGTCCAATGCCAGATTGGATAGCTGTGGATACTGAGAGACGCAGCATAGCACGATTAGTTTACATGCTATTCACACGCATGACGCGTACTTTTGCCTGTAATTATCGCCATATTCGAGCACCTTTTATGGTTTCTAGCGTCCACGGAGCCGTCCCATGGCCTGGATTCAGTAGTGTTCTGCAACTGCCGATTTTTTTTTTTTTACCAAAACATATGCTCCCGTGTAAATGTGTACTTTAAAATACATCACGCTCTTAGGATGCAACTGATTTCATGTGAGCTAGAGGAGTTTGGAATGCGGTCAACAGTCATGCCACCGCAGTAGCACCTCTTTTTTAAAATATTTAATCCGAGCCTTTTTGAAGGAATGGATTGATCTTGATCCCTACCATCCCATTCCGCAATTCCATGGCAACGGCAGAACTTGATGGCAGAAAGTTCAACGTGGTGCAATATGTGGCACAGTCCGTCCTGCTCTCTAGCGTCACCTGGCCTTTCGCGTGCCCGCTGCCACCGGCCGTAGGCCATACCCGTCATTGTGAAATAGCGGCTGCCAAAACCGACTCGAACCCAATGTAGCGGTGGACCATGCTCCGGGACCATGTGTCAGCATGTAAAGCGAGTGGGGCGATGACTCATGTCTGAGTGAGGGGAACAATCACGGCTCGGGACGGTGCGTCACAGTGGTGCCGGCCAGTCGCTCGCAGATCGTGTTGCGGGGCTGAGCCTTAGAAGGAGTACAAGAGGTGCTGCTCGGGCGCGTGGGGTGGGTCTCTCCCTGCAGGCGTCGTGTGCGGCAGGTCACCGCTGCGTGTGAGACAGTCCGACCGATAATTCTTTTCATCATCGAATACAAGCTATTTCGGCCAGAATGCCCGAGACCCCGGCAGCAGCTGCAGGCGGTGTGACGACATTCATCACGGCTGGTGGCGCAGCAACACCAGCGTCAGCCAGCGGGAGCAGGGCCGTCACGCGGGATGGAAGCGGGCCGTTTGACGCCCGGCTCATCCCAGAGTACGATGGGTCGTCGGACGTCGTGGAGTGGTTCACGCGCGCTGCGGTACTGTGCAGGCATCACGGCGTGGACCTGACCGGCGTCCTGCCAGCACGGCTCACGGGCGGCGCCTTCGCTGTCTGGCTGCAGATGCCAGAGGCATCGCGGGACTCCGCGGACGCCGTGCGCGACGCATTGTACGACGCGTTAACCTCGTGAGTCTGCGGACATGTACCTTGCAGACCTGCGCCGGCTCGCCACCCTGTTCGGCGGAGTGCCTGACAGCGCACTCGTCTGCGCATTCGTCTCCGACCTGCCAGACGAATTGTGCAAGACGATCCCGGGCGGCACCCGCGCGGAGGCGCTGGACCTAGCGAGCGTTCTCGCACGGGCGCGAGCCGTGCTCAGCGATGAACGCGTCGCTGTGGCAGCGGCCGCGGCGCGTGCAGAGGCGCCTCCATGAGACCCGACGACGGGTTTGGCGAGACGCCCACTGCGACGCTGCTGGACGTGCGGTGAGTCGGGCCACATCGCCGTCGCCTGTCCACAGCGTCGGTCGGGAAACGAGTCGAGGAAGGGGGGGGGGGGGGGGACGCCGCGTCAGCGTGAGCGCCGTCTCCCCGCCATTAAGGGGCGCGCCGCCCATCACCCGGCTGGAGGTGAACGGGCGGATGGTCAGCGTGCTGGTGGACACGGGCTGTACGGACAGGCTCGTGTACACTGGCCGCTGCGAAAAATGGACACCGCGGACGGTGAAAATGGCCACGATTAACGGCCAAGAACTCAGATGCTGCGGGACCGGCAGCATAGTGGTTAATAGCAAGGACCGTCGAGTGACGCTCGAGGTCCTGGTAGTGCCGGACCGACCGCTGGGTGTTGACATCATGCTCGGCATGAGTGGCATCACTGCCCTGGGAGGCATCAGCATGCAGACGCCGACAGATGTGCGGTTCTGTGCGGCGGCAGCTGTGACCCAGCGAGGCCTGGAGGTGGACGCAGTCGACTTTACGGCGAGGTTTAGCGGCGAGTAGCAAGCGTGGACGGTCGCCTGGAAGTGGACGGACGGCACAGGTCCAGAATGTCTACGCAACTTGGTGGCCGAGTATCCTGTGTCCGTGGACGCGCGGCAGGCGTACGACGCGGAGATCGACGCATGGATCAACAAGGGCTGGCTGATGCCGTACGACAAACAGGTGGATGGACCGCCGCACGGTCTGGTGCCGCTGATGGCGGTACGGCAGGCGAATCAGGATAAGGTGAGACCTCTCCTGGACTATCGCGAGCTCAACAGCTTCGTGATGGCCCACACGGCGGGCGCGGACGTCTGCGCCGACCAGCTCCGAAAGTGGCGGCGACATGGGACACGCGTCGCTGTGGTGGACCTGCGCAAAGCGCACCTGCAGCTGCGCCTGGAACGCCGACTGCGGCCCTACCAGACGGTCATGGTGCGAGGACAGCGCTACCGCCTGACACGACTGGGGTTTGGGCTCAACGTCGCCCCGATCATCATGGATGCTGTCGTTTGTGCAGTGCTGGCGGAGGACGCCGACACGCAGCGCGCCGTGCTCCCATACGTGGACGACCTGCTGGTCGACGAGGACATCGTGAGCGCAGACCGCGTGGTGCGTCACTTCGCTCGCTTCGGCCTGACTTGCAAAGCGCCGGAGCGTGAAGCGGACGGCGCGCGCCTGCTCGGCCTGCGCGTGCAGCTGGTGGATGGGAAACTGCACTGGTCGCGCGACAATGGCGTCGCTGCACCACCGGAGCAGGTCACGCGGCGCGCTGTGTTCGCATGGTGCGGCCGGCTGGCGGCTCATCTGCCCGTCAGCGGCTGGCTTCGCCCTGCTGTCGCTTGGTTGAAGCGCAGGGTGAATGCCGTCGCATGGATGGGATGACGCCACCACGGACGTAGCACTCCTCTCCCAGGTCTCTCAGACGGCAGATATACCGAGGACGAACGACCCGGCCCGCGGCTCGTGGCGCCTGACAGGTGAAAAGGTCATCGTTTGGACGGACGCCAGCGCCATTGCTGCAGGTGTGGTTATCGAGAGCCCAGACGACGGTGTGGTCCAGGATGCCTGCTGGCTGCGCCCTGAAACCGCGACGTCAACACACATCAACATGGCGGTGTGCGGGATCAACCAGGCCATCGCCTGGGGGATGGAGATCGTCGACCTCCGCACTGGCTCCGCTACGGTCCATCGGTGGATTGACGACGTGCTGAGTGGCCGCGCGCGCCTCCGCACCAAGGCGCATGGCGAAATGCTGATTCGACGGCGCATTGACGTCATCCGGCAGTTGGTGGATGAGCTGAGCCTGACGCTGACAGTCGCGCTGGTGCGGACGGATGAAAACCTAGCGGATACTCTGACCCTTGTCCCAAAGGAATGGCTGCGCGGGACTCAGGTAGACGACGGTGTGCCAGCTAGGATCCTAGCACGCACCGGGGGTGCAGGTGCCGTGGGATGTGACGAGAGCATGCGCATCGGCTCCAGGGCGGCAGCTGCCGCCGTACATGATGGTGCTGACGCGGCGAAGGGCAGTAATAGTATGGACATCGAGGCGCGGATCATCGCTGCACACGAGAGTGCCGGCCATCCAGGAATCCGCCGGACGCTGTACTTCGTGAGGCGCGACGTAGCGCGGGGGGCGTCGCGAGCCGCCACACGATCGGTTGTGGGTCGGTGCGATGTGTGCCGATCCATCGACCCAGCGCCAACGCGGTGGCGGCATGGCCCGCTGCACGTCCCCGACGCATGGTCACGTCTCGCGGTAGACGTGACCCACTACCAAGGTGGATCGTACCTGTCTCTGATCAACTGCGGCCCGTCCCGGTGCAGCCTGTGGCGGCACGCATATCAACGCCCACGACACGTTTGCGGGTGGGGTGTGGTGGATGCGGAGGGTTTCCTCTAGCCCCATAGATCTGCCATTTATAAGTTACGCTATTGCCATAGAGAAGTTAACTGCTATTGGTTGAAAAATGCATTAGTCAGACTTGTTTGCTTTCCCTTAATGATAGTTGGTCAGGGGTTGCAGGTTACGGCATACCTGGTCAAGGGGCAGTAGGTATACTGATGTGTCAGCCATCATTTCCTGCTTAGTGATTCGATCATAGATGCGCATTGCTATGCATTGCTACTTAACTTCTTGGCCTAGGTGCTACTGTATCATATCAGTTAAGTACTCCTGTAATGCAAGCTGATTTGTTTCATAGGCCTGGTTGATTATTTTGAATTACTGGACTGTGCAGGCATGGGTTGGTAGAGGTTAACCAAACAGACTTGTGGCTCTGTGGCTGGTAAGCATGATTGTTATGCAGCATGAAAATTATATTATTGATCTGGTTGCACTTATTTTCTAGGTCACTTCTTCACCAACCTGTACCTTTACTGCATGCCTGACAGATTATGAACAACATAGGGAAGGTAGAGTTTTGGAACCCCTTTGTTGAACAGTATATCATTGTGGCATTACCTAAAATTTATGTTAGCAGATCAAGCACTAGTATGTATTTCAGCATGCTGTATTAATAGATAACAGAGATGTGAGGGTAATTCCACTGATTCATTGCTAGTGGTATTAAAGCATGTGGAAGTACAAGACAGGGACATAAAATTGTCATAGTTGAATATTTTTATTGATGATAAAGGTTGGATGAATAATTTTGGGCAATTTGTTCTGTACACATGAAGCTATGGTCTGTCCTTATCTTAGTTGCATTGAATCTTCCTAATGTGGCCATTATACATGCATACTTTGCCAAAGAAACATTCCCTACTGCCATGGTTTTGTCTGCTGTGTTTGACAAGGTGGGTGAGTTGTAAAAAATTGATACATGTCATAGGTGTCATCATCTTGTATTTAAGCATTGTTTGAATGAAGTTTTACCCTCATGATATAACCTAAATGGTAAATTATGGAAGGCAGTAAACATCTAATTCTTAAAATATTATGTGCCAAATGTTAACACCTGTGGATGAGATCTGACATGCACTAGGCAATCAAACCATGGAATTGCCATAATGTATGTTGCCCAAAGTAGTCCCAGTAACTGGGTGTACACAAATTGTTGTGTTTCTAGATGTGAACAGTCTCCAAGCTTTTCAGTCTATGTTCCTTCCAAATACACCTCCTGCTGCTCCTTAACTGTCTGTTTGCCAAGTGTGTTTGTGCCAACTTGAATGTAATGAATTAACTGTTATTTCTGATCTGCTTTTATTGTTCCCGATCTTCACGTTACAACATTTAACTGGAGCCAGTTGCATGCATCATCTCTGCCATGAGGTGGGCAGCCATGTGCTGTCAGCTTTGTGATGCCCATGCACTGCACTTGCAGGTTCTGTATGCTAGAAAGTAACAGCACACCCATGTCAACCTGCTCCACAAGATCTGCCTCATGGGGCTCTGCAGGCGCCAAGTCATCCCCTGCCCCATGCTCATGGTGCACAGTGTGATGATTAATGCATGGTGCAATGATCAATGCAATGATAACCTGAGCCACATTGCCCATGTTTTTCACTTCTACATGTTTTAGTTGCTGTAGTTTGTTTTTCAGCATGCTGAAAGCACATTCAATTTTGACATGTTTTTTTGTATGGTCTGTAGAAGTAGGGCTGAGTGGGGCTGAGGTGATCGTTGTCTCGGGAAGGGGTGATGATTCCGAGGAAAGGGTCTCTCCTGTCCTCCTGTCCTCGACGAGGTGTGCGTTAGTTGGGAGAAGCTGCCGCCGGTGCTCCCTGAGGTCGCAGCAGGGGGGGGGGGGCCTTCTCCGAAAAAACACGAGAATCGCGGGCGGATCGCGGAACCCTGGAAGTACATCGGTGCGTACGCCGCGGTGATCACAAGCAGCCAGTGGATGCACTGTTTTGGCGATGCTTATGAGTATTATGAGCAGCTACTATCTCCTTGCTGATTGCATCCATGAAGATGAAGAACCCGTCGATGGCTGCAACCACACCCGGGGAGCCGGCGCACGCTGCAAATCCTGCGATGGTTCCATGTGGCCGCGCTCCTACTGGCCACGCGATGGCGTCACCGTGCGCGGCAGCAACATATTTGCAAAATGTTGTTAGATACTAGTGTGACCCAGATTTTGAACTTCCGAACATGTCGCCAACGTCGTGTTGGGGTACTGGCTCGGCAAGACATTGCAGCGCAGGCATCACATCTTCCAACGGACGCTTCTGGCTGCCCCTGCGCTGGCCATGATTGTCATAATAAGGAGCCAGCTTTGCCTAGAGATTTTGAGAGAAGAAATGTGCGCGGATACGAGACTGCGATTTGAAATCCTCGTTATCATGTCCTGGAACCACGTCATGTAAGTAATTTTCTGTTTTGTTTGCGCGACGTTGGTGCTTTGGCAGGGCCAGAACCGCTACGTCGGCGTGTACACCAATGTGTTAAGTCACTTTCTGGATCCTGTAACATAGTTTGTCTGGACAGCATGATTGTGGAAAGTTGGTCTTTGTCTTGAATGTTTTGGAGTGTGAATATACTGCATAACCTGACGTCACATGTTTCCATGGATGTTGCTCATCTGTGTATGTATAGAACTCTCCTTCATGCGATTTGTAACATGATATTTTTCCCTGCACACGTGTTCCGAGCAAAGCTGTACCCCTGCTTCAGCAACACGCGCAAAACTCGACCATGCGTAACAAAATATATGGACGACCTCAATATACATGCGCGACGCTCACGCAACGCTTGAAGTAATGTCGCGTCTGTCGGAGTCGAGGGCGATGATCTGCCTTTCTCTGCGTATAATATTCTTGTTGACGTACAGTCGTCATGGTATAGGCTGTTGTTGTGAGAGATACACGTGAAGTATTTGTATTTAACTGTCCTGACTCGCCAATATCATCTCTGCGGCGCGTCAAATGTGTTTGTTGGAAAACAGCTGATTTTACTAGCCGTCATGTTTAGGAGTTACTTGAAGCGTTCTCCATGGCGCAGATGACGTAGCTGTGCAACGTCATAGGTTGTTACCTGAAAAGGCGGAGCATCTGGCAGCATTTCCCCACCAAGAACGGGGCCCTGTTGGAGGGTCGCTCTAGACGTAAGGTAATGTTTTGAAGGTGCTCCAAACGGGGAGCAGCGTGACTGCGCACGAGCAATTTCAACCACTTCCGATCATCCAACACAGTAGTACTCTCGTAGCACGTTCATCGATTCTAGCTATGTTACAAATACGACAGAGAAATCAACGATAAGTATATAAACCTTCTAGTGCATATCAACTAGACCTGACTGGTTTAGACCTGACTAGACCTGGTTTAGACCTGACTAGACTGGTTTTATCCGCGTAATCAAGCAATTACGTCGGTAATGCGCTAGAACTGAACAAATATGAAGTAGTTCTTGTGGTGAAATTCTTTCTATTGTTGTCTTAGGCAGAAATTATAAATGCTCCTGAGAGTAGAGGAAATTTCACACGGCCGCGGTAATGGGGCCATATGACGCTTAGTCCCCGGATGACGTCACGGCATCGCTACCCAGAATGCAGTAATGCGGGGGCTTGGGCTTGCGATGTGCAGGGATGATACGGGACTGAGTTATTGATGCTTTTGGTGCCTGTCCCCGCTCTGCGACGTGCGTAGGGCTTAACAGTCTACGGTCCCGGACAGAGAGAGTTTGACGCGTTGAGAATGGCATCGCTTGTTCTGAAAACATTATCCATTTTCCTGGGGCTCTTTTTTATTTTCGTCGGCTTAACAAAAATAACACCTAAGATCAACGCAGAGCTGCACAGGGAGTTGGTGAGTACTTAAACTGGTATAATAACCATTAGACCTCCTTGTAGTAGGCAGAGCTCATTACAGGGGAAATGGGCTGAAAGAAGTCTGCACACATTCTAAGCTGATAATCTTCATCATCATTCATTCCTGTCAGGACGCATGTAAAGGAAGTGGTTCGTCAATTATGTTATAACATTAGCCGCAGGCAATCATGAGGGACTAAAGAACCAGTGTGCAAATATTCATTCCATCTACCAGACACATATTGGACTTGAGTGAGGTGAGGCTCTAGTGCACCAAAGTCATGCCAGTTCAAAAAGTTCAAATTTTTAGGTTATTTTGTGTGAATGCTATCTGCAGGGTTTGTATGCATAAGTTTTCCTTTGCAGTGCAAATTCCTTCACACCTTGGCTTTCAATGTGGTGAAGTTGGTGCTAGCTATGCACAGAACTGTATTTTGGATGCCCAGAGTACAATCCCTGAAACTGTCAGAAAAGAATATATTTATATGTTCAGGAAGCAAAGTTCTGCAGGGATATAAATGCACCTGAAGGTGCTCTCTTGATGGTTTTTTCAGGTGCCTTCAACAGCATGGTCTCTAAAACTTGTGTTGTGCCTATCTTGACCTGGTTCTGGGGATTCTATACACCCAGTGCATGTGCCTTGTATAAACCATTTTTGAACACATTTGTGCTGGGAGCTGAAATTACCTCAGGGTCAGACCATTCTATTCATTCACCTCCCATGCACAAGGTGTTTTGTGCATTAAATATTTTGAGGCTGGTGAAGGCTATCCACAGAAAGGACCTTGAGCTTGAAGGGGTGTCCTGGAGTGCTAAGCTCCCCTGTGTCACAATGGAACAATTTATGAGGAAGTATTATCAGTTTGCCCATGTTTATCAAGTGCACCATAAGCATCCATGTCTACTTGACATCTTCAGCAGTACATACTTGTCAGCTTGAGCACCTTAAGCTTATCCTCATACTCTAGGTGTGACACAATGTGAACCAGCTTGGTTGCCCTCCTTGATACTGCTTCTTCTGCATCATGGTTGCAGCAATACATTGATCCCCATATGCAACCACCATATTCAGGGTAAGGCCTGACCAGAGACTTGAATAGCCAGGGCACAGTTTTGAGATCTAATACAGGAAATGACCTCTTGATCAGCCCCAACATTATTGGCTTCTGCCAATGCACTTGCCATCTGAGGAGGAAAATCAAGGTTTTTGTCCACCTAAATTCCCAGGTCCTTCATACCACCTACTGCTTGGATGACCTGTCCTCCCATGGAGTACTTATGCTGGCAGTTGCTTCATATAATATGCAGAACTTCACATCTCTCCTCCATGAGAGAGAGTTGCCATATGTGTGTACACCCTTCCAATGCTGCAATATATTCTTGCAGCACATATCTGTCTGTAGTATTACAGATTGCTGAAAATTTGTGTCCTCAGCAAATAGTTTCATATATGTATATCTCTATTTTCTAGTTTAATAGTCACTGCCTCTTCCATTAATTCTATTTGAGAAAAAGGAATTTACCATTAAAGGTTGGACTATAGGAGGTACAGTCCACAAATCTTCTCCAGTGAATATGCTACTGAAATAGGAATTTGGTACTTGTGCATTCTCAGTTCCCATCCTTGCTCTGGTGCACTCTGCTCTTCTCATTCTTGTGTTTTGAATTTTGGGGCCACATGTTTCCAAAATGCTTTTTGATTCTGCTGGATTTGTTCAGCTAGCTTTTGCTCTTGCATCCATCAAAGTTTCCTTGTTAGCTGCTGGATGTGATTTATCCTAGATGAACATGCTCTTGGGAATAATCTGTTATATTTCAGCAAGGTCTAAGGGGCCCTGAAAATGGGAAGAATAGATGTGGAAGTGTCTTTTTTGACAGAATGGCTAGGGCCTAATGCATGTCTTGATATCACTGCTAATTGTATGCAACTGCTCAGAATAGACTGAGCATTTATATGGACCCTAGTCTGCAGGCACTAATCTGATGTGCCAGACACCTAAGAAATGTGGACATGGTTGACATCAGATGCATCTTTTGCAGCCTGGCATGGATGCATCATCGCTTTAGACTTGTCTGATCATCTTTGTGCATCATTCAGAGTAAAGTGAAGGGGCTTCGTGGTTGATTCGGATATCACAGGTTGGCGCAGGATACCTTTGACCCTGCTGCAGTTTTCAGGTTTGTCGTGCACATTGGTTTTTGCAGGTCATTTCGACTTCTAACCATGCCATTTTCTGAAGTCCTAACCAAACTTCATGGGGATATGCCAGGGATCTGTCAGAACCAGGTGCTTGCATGGAATCATCTTCAGGAGCTGAAAGTTCCGCCCCAGTCTTCACGTGTCCAGAAGTGGGATGCCTTTTCCAGGAATGTTGGGGGGACTAGGGTAAGCTGAGTGTGGCAATCTGACCAGCCAGACCCTTTTTCTTTGTGGGACCAGGGAAGTATAGCACAGTGAATTCGTAAATCATTGTGCCAGTGACAAGTGCGACAAAGTAGGTATGGCAATCTTGCCTGTGCTGTGCCTTATACTTTGTGGTACCAGTGAGTTGTAGCACAAAAGAATGTCAATGTGCAGGTGACATCAAATCATAGAATCATATGTGGCAAGAAACCTGGGGAACCCATCAGAATGGGCTGTGCAATGTTGTGGGATGTTCATGCTCCATGCGAGTCTAAAAGACAAAAGGGTTCAGCAATTTTTGTGCTCACTTGAACAAGCATTGCTTGAAAATTGCATGCCTGTGGATATGGCCAGGCTCAAGCGGTCGCGCTATGCGGAACAGTGCCGCACGTTAATTTTCCGCCACCAAATTCTGCCTTTTACCTGGAATTTCGTGATCGGAGGGCATGGGTCATGGCTCACCCAACAAACACTGCTCACCATAAACCCTGATCCCAGATTTCCATTCGTTTGAAGGGCTAAGACTAAGCTTTCTTATAAAGTGTTTGCCAGTTACACTGATTGGTCAGAAGACTGACCAGTCTTTTGATGATGTTTTGGGGTTTTGGGGGAGGGCATCCACTGCTGTAGGTCATGCACTGCCCTTAACTTTATTGACCATTCTTTGGCATGAAATGTTTAGCAGTGTTGGGGAGGAGCTAAAGGACTATAATTTGCCTTTAAAATGTTACATTTTGCATAGATATTGCTAACAATGAACTAGACTACAAAACCTGGCGGTGACATTGCTCAGTGTTCTGATTGAGGCCTTAACAAATTCCACTCGGTAGGCTTCAGACAAGGCATCAATGACCACTTTTTGGTCTACATCTAATGCACACATGGATTCAAAACTATTTGCAAATATATCTGCGCTCCTAAAAAGTATGACAGTTTGGTCGTACAAGTTTCAAATGTTAACAATGTTTAAAGAGACGCTCAGCTCACATCCTCGCTCATAACCAGATAGTTGATGTTACTTCAACGTAGTGCCTATTCGTATGTTGTAAGTGCATCCAATAACGTTCCAGCCATGCTGCAAACTCTGGCATGAAACATGACATCATTTACTTAGCTTGTCGTGGTGCCAGTAGTGTAGTGGTTAACGCGTCTGCTTTGACCACTGCGCGTCTGGGAAACCAGAGGTACGGAGGTTCGATTCCCCGCGGTGCCCGCCCTTCCTGCCAGACTGAGAGGTAGGCGACGCCATAAAGCCTCAGCAGCTGAGTGCGTCGTAAAGCCCCAGTGACACACATGACACTACTTGGCTTGTCAATGGCATACAACTGGCGATCTTGGCTGGCATGATTGTCATGCTTCCCATGTCAGGATTGAAGAGGATTTTTGTATGTGTTTATGTTATCATGTGCGTGCCTGCGCAAGGGCAAGTCTGTATTGCCAGTGCCAATATGGTTTGGAGACATGTAAACATGTTTTGTAGTCATGAGCCGTGTGATCCAGAGACACAGCCCAAGCTTGTAGCTGTATATGTGGTAAACTACTGCAACTTGTCCCACCAGCTGACCTGATGCCTTGTTCATCTGTTTCAGAAGCGAGAGTTTGTTAAATACTCAAAAGTGATACCATTTTTGAAATTCTACAACATCAAGATACACAGCAAGCAGTACCGCAGCTTCGTTGGTGGCCTGGAAATATCATGTGGGACCTGTCTGGCATTTATTCCCTTTAGTGAGTAATTCATCTTATTTGTCACAAAGTAGGCGATTGTTGATTTTGTGGCTGGGGTGCTTACGTAAATATAGCTTGATCTCGGTAATTTCGGCGGCAGGGAGCTGTCCCCCACAGCAGGCGTTCTGGCCCCTTTCTGTGCTTTAACGTGATGATGATTGTTTTCAATGTTCGTGATGCCAGCCACTCTTGTCATCGCCAGGTTCACAACTTACCACATTATTCGCGCTTATAAAGTGGAGCCCAATGTGTCGAACACGAGTTTGGGTCTGTCGACTTGAATTGCGAGGCATTGTCATTGTCATGCGTAAACTTATTTTTCATCACTCCGCACGGGGGGGGGGGGGGGCACCCCGCAGTCCAGGCAATGGCTATTTTCTGGCGACATTGGAAGCTGTTTTCTCGTACTGAATGCTCGTGTATATCGTGGGGTCTCGTGTTTCGTGGTGATTGGTGATGTTCGCAGTTCTTCCTAACCGTGGCGGGGCCTTTTGGCGATTTTGTTTACTGTCAACGTCTTTCGACAATCGGAGGGGCTCATCGCCATCTAAGCTATATTCTAAATGCAATGAAGCATCCTTTACAAACTACGGCCCACTGAGGGGTTTGGATTACGAAGGATGTCTTACTGGCTGTAGAACAGTACACAGCAGTTGCCCGGAGACCCGTTTTGTTCTGCCACGTGTTTTTCACCGTGCTGTGCTTTGGGCTGAATGTGTAGCCTCTTTTCCCGTCAGTGACGCGCGGAACGCTCCCGACGATAGCCTCCAACCCTCTTCGCTTCCCTTTCCCCAGAGCGCATGAAGCAAACGGCCAACTGCCTGCTCCTGCTGATGATGCTGCTTACCATGTACACCCACTACGCGGTGGGCGACCGGTTCGAGCGGACGGCACCGTCGCTGGTGTTCCTGTTCATGCTGGTCTGCCGGCTGATCGTCGACTACCAGGTGCACCGCCCGCAGCGCGCCGGCGCCGCCGCCAAGTCGGCTCCCGCCGCCGACGCGCCGGCCAGCGACGCCAAGACGATGAAGACCGAGTGACGGCCGGCCGGGCAGGGCGGCGCATCGCCGCCCGGCAGGCACTGGCCGGCTTGTGGCGCCCGCACTGGCGCGTGGCGTCCCTGTTTGCGTTCAGATTCTCCTTGTTCTGTGATTTGCCAACTAGTCGCCGCGGGTTGGGCGAGTAGTTTAGTTGCCGCGTGGAGGTGGTGTGCCACTCGCGCTCTGTTTGCTCAGTGCATGCGTTATTCGGTGCAGCAGCGTCTGCTGTGTAGGTGTTCTGTTCGTGGTTGGAAACCTCCTAACACCAGAGGATCTTTTTATACTTGGATGTCAAAGTTCCGTTCATTTTATACTTAAGTGGTGGAGCTTCGAGAAGCGGCACATCGCGCGCTATTTTAGCAGTACACTAAGTTGGCGCATTTGGCGACGCCAGCAATGCTCAGCTAAGAACAGTGTAATGCACGTGCATTGGTATCGGTCGTTCTTTCGTTCGTTCGTTCGTTCGTTCGTTCGTTCGTTCGTTCGTTCGTTCGTTCGTGCGTTCGTTCGTTCGTTCGTTCGTTCGTTCGTTCGTTCGTTCTTTTGTTCGTTCGTTCGTGGGCAAGGGGTCTGCACTACCAGTACTGGCGTGGCGGGACCTGGAAATCGATCCGCCATCGGCAGTCAACATCAACTAGATGTTAGCCACGACGCTTGGTTGGTTCTGCATAGGTGTGTCAAGTTGATGTTCAAAGCCACGACAATCACTTGCTACATCTCGTGGATATCTTCAGTCATGTCGCTCTGCGTTCCTGTGGTTGTGTCACGGCAGCTAGGCATCTTTATGCAGTTTGTCACCGCTAACAAATTGTGGGTTTTAGGTTTCTCGTATGTTACAGGTTTTTGTGTTTTTTGTTTCTGTCCCAATACTGCTGCATTTCGCCGAAGAGAACGTGTGCGGTAAGCGAATTCTGCTTGGGTTTTAGACAAGGAAAAGGGGCAACACGGGTTTTAAATAAGCTATGAATTCCTACGGACCAATCCACGGGGGTACATCGAATCATACGACGATGCGTTCTCCTTTCGTGGCAGCACTTTAAGTGGTGTGTAGTATTATGTATCTGTAGCCCTTTCATTGCCTCAGGTATAGCAATTGTCAATCGCCTATTTAACATAACCTAAGTTGTGCGGTCGATTTATCTGGATTTGTTTGAAAGCCGGTGGCACGAAATTGCTCTTAACATCAGGTCAGTGGCCAATAGTTGTGTTTCATGTGCACAGCCATCCCTGTCTGCTGGACGCTCGCGATCCGAGAATGCTCACGTGGAACTCGCGAACTGCACATGCGGCATGGACCGCCGCATGCTGGCGTGGGTAGTCGTAAAATTTGCCAAGTGTATGGTCTAGTCAGTTCGTTGCAGACGGTATTGATGTTTCATCGCACCCATGCGGTGCCTACTCACGTGTCGCACCGTTTGGATCGATCTCTTCGTGCCCGTGAAAGGTCATTTAATTTCGCGTGAAAGCCTGCGCCGCGTCCTGGGGCAGCGGCCGATGTCACGTTTTGCACCCTGGATGTTTGTCGGAACGCACCAGCAATAAAGCGGTTTCGTCGTGCCGGTGTGTGCGGCGGCGCCCGGACGTGGCCAGGACGCCGCGCGCCGGCGCCTAACGCGTCCGCGTGGCCGCAGAACGAGCGCAGTGGTCCGGTTAACAGGAGCTGCCGGCTGCCGTATGTTGACGTGGCCGGCGCGCTCCTCTTATCAGCCGAGCTGTGACGACGGTTGGCCGCAGGAATGTGCAGCCACTGGTGCTGACCCAGTGCCGGCTGGGAAAGGACGCGTTTGCGCGGTACGCTTGGCATCGGTGGAGGTCTCCCGTCAAGACAGCGCCGTGTCGCAGTCCAGAGATCTCTTGCTGTGCGCATTTCGAGACTTACCTTAGCCGTACTTCACCTGGCTTCACACATCGAGACATTATTCACATCTCGACGTGACCAAAGTCAAAGATTGACTGGGCGCCATAATACGTGATTGGCGTGCTTCGATTCAAAGTGATTCGATTCAAACATTAATCATATATATATATATATATATATATATATATATATATATATATATATATATAGCCAAAGCAGGATCAGAGGCTCCCAAACATGCCCGGTCACACTTTCCGTGTTCCGTGGAATTATATTTCTATAACCCTGCGGTGTTTTTAGTATCCATGGTCGGCTAACCATCTTAATCGTCGTGCGCCATCAGGGAGTCATATCGACTAGATGAACGCTGTCGACGGATCTCAATGTTCGAGTGTCGTTGGATAGTCATGAGCCACTGCTGCGAAACGGACGCAGACTAACTCTTCGTGTGCGATTTGAAATATTTGTGAAACGCTGCCGTATCCATGCGATGTGCGTCCGCCCGTATCCAGTAATACACTGTCGGCAATCACATCGCAAATATATGCCGCCAGCCGAGAATTATGTTTTGGTGCCCTTTAATAGTCACGAGTCAGTATTTTAAAACGTCCACGGCCCCATTTTCCGCTCGCGATACATCTTTTAAAACCTTCTGCAAGTTTGCCTTTAGGTGCCGGGAGGCCTACAGCATTCAGTAATGCGCCGTCGGGGGATCATATTAAACATCACTGCCCGGCCGATCTTATTGTCATGATGCTACTTGAGAGTCCCAAGCCAGTGCTATCAGTCACGCATGGTCCCGCTTTCCTCGCGCTATGATAGCAATTTGTAAAATGCTGCCTGTGCTGGTTCATCAAACGAGTGGGTGACGCGGGCCGCTCACGATGCTTCAGCGTCGTTCGACATTATTAAGCCAATGCTGTTAAACATTCGCAACCCCTACCCCACGCACGGTTATAACGTTAAAAACTTTCATGTTTTCGTTTTCGTGGCAGCCAACGGTCTGAAGTCACAAGAGTTCAGACTAAACGGACATTTGCTCATCCCGTGAGGTAAATTTTTTCTACATGCTTCCTCTAAACGTTTCAGGAAACCCTCCCATCCCAGAGACACGTACCTTTTTCTGAAGCCAAGCTTAAGGATTTGCATGCCGAAGCAAACAGCCTGCATAGACACGGCTGGAGGCAAGGACAAAAAGTACAACCAATATTGAAATAGTCATACACGACGAAAGCAGTGGTTTGCGCCACAAGTTTACCGAAAGAGATCAAACCGTCCCCAGAGGCTGCGTTACAGCAGAAGAAGCCAAGGAATTTTAACATTGTTCGTGACATGGTCGATCACCCGGGCTTTGTCATGCACACCATCACTCAGCATGCAGCAGTTCCATCAGATGCCTGGCGCATTTAAAGTGTGTTTAAATCTTATAGATGACAGCATGCGAAATGCTCTGATAGGGAATGGAATCCTCACTGTGATGTCCTCCGTGAGAACAATGCTTTCCGCGGACGTTGGATATCAGACCGCCAGCAGTGACGTTATCGGTGCGGCCTGGACCACTACACGGTTGCATCATAGTTTTGAAGGCTATTTTCTGTTCCGTATCAAAGCTATTGCGCACGGGGAAATCCCGCCGCGTTTCACAGGACTGGGCGTCGAGCAGAAATAGTTCACGCTCAATGTTTTTGTCCCTAGGTCGGTCCGTTTTCGTCCCTAGGTCGGTCCGTTGTGCTTTGTTTGCTGTTGTTTTTGTCCATATGCTCGAGCAGAGCTGTGTCGAATGCAGCCGAAACGTTTTGCCAGCTTTCCAGCGCTAACATGAAGCACTCATGGGTTTGTTGACCGTTTGCCCGTAAAGCACGTCTTGTTGACATGGAATGAGCTGTTTTTTATTGGAATGTGCTCAATAACACGGATGGCTTGGTCGGCGTCAGTCTTTGATTAATCGTCTCATGACTAGCTACCTGGGTACCTAATTTTCCAGTACACCATTCTAGCCTTAATAGACATAAATGGCTGGGCACAGGTGGCCATGTAGTTCGTGTTTGTACGCGAGACTGACATGTTAGGTTTCGTTGGCAAACTGTGACGATTGTTAAGTCCACAATTACGAACCTTAAAACGCCTCGCTCTACTACACAACCCCACATGTATCGTTCCATTGTCTCCAGAAATCGCTTTTTCTGGACGGTCTGCCACGTCGAGCTTACTTAGAGCACCAGATTAAGCGTTGGCGTTTACGATGGACCAAATGAACGGCTTTGTTGATAAGTAGCATCGCACCGATCACTACAGAAGACCATGACAGCCAGCTCCGGTTGACAGGCCGTCCATGCATTCAGCTATCGATAAGCATACACACCATTTTATCCCTTGAGACCACCACTAGTTGTTCTCTGCGCTCCGTGAGCACTACCACCCGAATTGTGTGGCATCTGTAGTCCTCGAACTCCCAATACTTTTTCAGATCAAAGGTAGTTAAGACGGGAGCGAAAGGAATTGTTGTTGCGGCAAAATATTGGTGCATACGCCGTTTTGCAAGCTTGAAATGTCACCGATAAGGAGATGCAACGGCCAACTATGAATGAGAGATAATCTGCGCAGAATATGTGCGGACAAACTCATTGCGCTTATTTCTGCTTCGGCGGTATTGGTTCCGAGCCTGACTAACAGCCCACCGGGTTGATTCCGAGCCTGACTAACAGCCCCTGGAGTTGATTCCGACCCTGACGTGTCCTCACGTGTGTGCCTAGCGTTGGCTTTGCCTTCCCTTTACACGATAGCACGGTGATCATTAGACACTGGGACAGTGTTATCAGTGATGCCTGTGTTCATATTTGTGATAGAAACGACTGGCTCATTTCCGGTTTGGTGACCTAGTCTTCAGGGTCAGAACAAAGAACTCCGGTTTGCTGACGCACCAGGCTGATGCAACTCACAACTGAACAATTCCGGCGGCCGCAGGTGTCGCTAGGCGATGCGCTCGCCGGTCGCTCCGATATGTTGCTTTACCATGCCCCTGTTCCCCGCACTCAGCAACGATTTTCCAGCCCACACTCGCACGCGCATGCACGAACGCATCTCCAGCAGCGTTCCGTGCAAGCTGATGACCCCATCCTGACCGGGTTCTGGCGAGACCACGATACAAAAACCCGTCAACCAGCCAGCGACTACCCTGCCAGTGGAATCTCGGATACGGTCGCGCAGCAAACAGGGGGACGCGCGCCGCGGGCCGGCGCGGTGGCGACAAACAGAGCCCCCTATCTTCTGGCAGATCGGACGGCGCGCGCCACCGCCGCGTAACGGTGCCGCCCGGCCGGCCGGGCCGCCGGCCCGCACAAGCGGTCCGGCATTCAGCGGTGGCGCACGTTCCGGCTCGCTCCTGCCCGGCTCCGAATTCGGCTCCCGCCCCGGCTCCGCTCCGCCCGGTCCGGCACTGCTCTGCTGTAGGCTCCTGACGGACGGGAGCGCGGACGGCCGTCGATTCTGCGGAAGCACGCGCAGGCTATGTGCCAGTGACCGGCGGGCGGGAGCGCAGAGAACCCGGTCAGGGGCGTCGCGGAAGCGGGTCATCATGCAGCCGGCTGTGGGTGGAGTGTTCTTGGCGGTGAGTGACCTCCACTAGCTGACCTGTTTGGTTGGCTTGCAAAGCTCCTATGAAATTATATTGACCTCTGGATCAGCGATTAATCCACATATTGCGATGGATTCAAAAGGCGTTTATGCTGAAACCGGAAGAACGTTTAACAATTCTCGTTTACTGGGATGATAACTTATCAGCCAGACAAAACCATCGGATTCAAGATGCTATGGCAATTAGATTCAAATTTACTATGGTTATAAAAAGAATTTCGTAGCACTTTATGCTGGACCCAGATGAGCTATGGCTACGATTTTACAACTCATTTCTTCATGTTATCAATTTAAGTGATTTTCGTATATCGTACATTAGATAGCAATGCGTCTGCAGGACACCAATCTTCTGTTCGCAATATGGACATGAGTTATTGCGTCATATCAGACGAACGACAGCTAGTGCACCTGCTACTGGCATGATTACGTAAAAACCGTCATCTTCTGCGGCGATTTCTCATAAAAAGGCCACCAAGACCAGAATTTATTTCCAAAATATCGTTGCCAACTGATACTTCTAACCATTTCACGGATCTCCTGCAGAGCACACCAGCGTGGCGCATGATGGAAGGATTGGCTCTGTCAAACTCTTTATTTTCATTTTTCATCATCAGATGAGTCAAAAATCCCCACTCCAAACGACAATTCCTCCGTTCAAAAAAAAAAACAAAAAAAAAAACAGACTAACGTAACATTGTAAGTGTGGCATTCATCTTTGTATATTGCTACATATTTTTTTCCCCAGTCGTAACGCTATGAATCAAAACACGACCATGATAAAAGTACCGCTACCGCATAGATTATCTATAGGGCTGTGAGAAGTCGAACCTTTGTACGATTATTGGTAGGGCAGGGAAAAAGTTCGTGGTAAAAAAGCACACACAGCCCCATTGAGAACAAGTGTCAATATTTTGCAAATTTAACTTAAACCCGGCTTTTGATAGGCACAGTCCTTCAATCTTTCAACGGGCTGACTCACCAGTCGTTCACAGCGGCCCGATCGGAGGCCGTTGACTCGGTCCACGTGTCATGGCGCTCGCCCGCGTTCGTTCAGCCGTCTCCGTCCGGTGGCGGCGGGATGCACGCACCGTGACTCGCTTCCACTCGACTTCGTCAGTGTAGCCGCGGGAACGGACGCCTCATTACTCGCCTCTGCTCGGCTCCGTCAGAGTAGCCACGGGAGCGGACGCCTCATTACTCGCCTCTGCTCGGCTCCGTCAGTGTTGCCGCGGGAGCGGACGCCTCATTACTCGCCTCTGTTCGGCTCCGTCAGAGCAGCCGCGGGAGCGGACGCCTCATTACTCGCCTCTGTTCGGCTCCGTCAGAGCAGCCGCGGGAGCGGACGCCTCATTACTCGCCTCTGCTCGGCTCCGTCAGAGCAGCCGCGGGAGCGGACGCCTCATTACTCGCCTCTGCTCGGCTCCGTCAGAACAGCCGCGGGAGAGGACGCCTCATTACTCGCCTTTGTTCGGCTCCGCCAGTGTTTCCGCGGGAGCGGACGCCTCGTTACTCGCCTCTGCTCGGCTCTGTCAGAGCAGCGGACGCGTCCACGTCAGCGAGCGCCGAGCGGCGACCGTTAGCGCTGAAGGCGGGTCAGGCCGGTGGACGTCCGATCCGGGGGGGAGCCGTCGCGGGTGCCGGGCTTCGCTCCGACCGACTGCTGCACTCCCTGCGTCCAACGCAGCCGTCACCCCTCACCGCCGCGTCTTGTGCTCAGCACGGTCAGACGTGCTGGGGTGCGCCTGCTGCAGGCTCGTCACGCAGATGCGTATTCACTCCCCGCACACGCACCAGAACCATCCCACCCCGCTCCGTCACCGGTCAGTCCGATGACTCCTGCCGTGTCGTTCTACTTCCTCCTGATGCTGTAGGCGCCATCACAACTATTCATGAGGAACGACGAGACAGTTCGGTGTGGTGAAGTGACTGTAACGGGCAGCTCGCCAAGGCGAAAGTGTCAGAACCGTGCAAGTTAAAATCCAAATTGATGTCGCTGTTTGACACACGAGTCCTGCCGCACTCTCCGCCCATGGACACGACCTTTCCGCCGGCCGGGAACAGATCAGGATGGCCCGGTGGTGATCCCGGCAGCCGTTCGTAAGCGCCTCTGATCCGAACGCCTCCCCCCCCCCCCGCCGCTCTCCCCAGCTGGCTCCGGAAGCCGGACCGGCGTAACGGCCGACCGCCGCGACCAGTCGGCCAAGTAGGGTACTGGGCCGCCGGCCCATTTCCAGCGGTGCGACCGCCGTACGAGCGGGGTCGGCCGGCTGCCGGCCGCTACCGGCCCCGCCACTGCCAGCCCCATCGATAGGTATGTAGAGGAATTTGCACACTCATCCACGACTAGTGGATTTTCCCAGGGTCATTAGAATAAAACATGGAGGCTGATGGAACGCCAAAAGCGTATGATCACCACAGTGCAAGAGCACATCGATACTACGTGACCGGACATGTCCAGGACAAGTAGCCGATGTCCTCCAACAGTACATCCTGTAATCGAGTTTTGAAGCCCCTCGGGTCGGCCGGTGAAGCTTCCGTAACAGACAGTCATGTGCATCGGAGCCATCGAAGCATAGTCTGCGTGTGGCGGCTTTGGTGCGTGGTCTCGAGCTTCGTGACCATGGCACCACGCATTGTGGTGATGGTGGGAAGCGGTGTGAGATGGCTTCCAACCCCGGGTGGATGGTCAGTGACCAGAGTTTGCCTGATCGGCCACAAACGATGTTACAAAGTGAGCTTACCGGCACTGGGCCATTTTAAATGCTTGAGTCCGTGCTTTGGATACATGATTGTGTTTTGACACATACCTTTTGACCATGCGTTTCATTAACTACTTAAGCACAAAATTGCACACAAATTTCGCTCGGAGGGCTTCTGTATTTGACCATTAGTTGCGTGCGGAGACATAATTTCGTATTCAGTTAGAAGAGTCTAGCCCCGCCTCCCCTCCATCAAACAATGGAAAAGAAAATGGGTCATGTCCAGAGAGCTCACTTTTGCAAATTTTCAGGAAAGGTGCAACCACTCCCCCCCCCTCCTCCTCAGCACCCCCAGTCTTTCGCCACTTTAGTTTGCGAAACGACCCCATGGTTGCATAGATTGAAATGTTGCACCGGATAAATTGACTAAGTAACTTGCGATGCCAACTATGACGTCAGCTGGTGTGGAGTGCTGCGTGTGCGATACCAGCTATGAAGTCAGCTGGTGCGAAGAATTGTGTATGACATGTCAGGTATGACGTCAGATGGTGCGGAGAGTCGTATATGACATGTCAGGTATGATGTCAGCTGGTGTGGAGAGTTGTGTATGCGAGAATGCTCTGAGGGTGCAGATCGCCTTCCTACAAGAGGAGCAATGTACGCGTCAAAGTTAAATATCCCTCTGTGACTAACCTGACCTTTTTACTGATCTGCTTTCGCTTGTGGCGGAGAATGATGTACCGAACGGAGTTCGATTTTCGGAATTCATGAAGCATTCTCCTTGAGTCAAATGCAGTCGAGTGAGTCTAGTCTGTATTGGCTCTATATTAATGTGCAAATCAGTCAGAGATATTATCTCATGGTATTTCTACACGATAAGTACAAATTGTACAGGTTGTCTTTGTTTGAACCAGCGTGTGAGCACGGCTGATAATGATTAAATAGTGATGTCATATGAGTAGGGGGTGCACCTTGCTTGCTAGCACTGGATCTTGACATGTTGAGCGTGGGCGCTAAGCTAATTCTTAACCAACTGGCGTCTATGTTGCACTGTTGAGGCATTACAATCATGAAATCGTGGTTTATTACGTCGAAGCATTTCGGGAGATCTGTAAGAACAAACAGCAATTTTAGCTCAGTCCATAACTAGCAAAATTTTGTCATTGACTCTGGTCAGCGCTGTTTCCGTGCAAGATTGTGACTAATTATGTTACAAGACTATTATGTGCGTTGCAATGCTGATTGTGTGAGCACAAGTCGGTTTCGTTAAGATGCCGGTTGACTTGGTACTGAGCGACACGTTTCAACTGTTTTGACAGGGGAACGACCGCAAGTCGGCGAATGCTAGACATATCGCTGAGGTTGCCAGTCTTTGATAACAGGGTGAGAACGCGTGCTTCCATGCGTCAGGCACGAACCCATTGAAGGGAGTGCTCCACATTTATGCGGAATTTTGAACTGAAGCAGTCATCTTGAAAATCTTCCAGTGCTGTTCATAATCTTCCCCTTCTTAAGATCCAAGCCCCTCTAGTTCCTGAGGTACACGCCCGCGAAAATGGGGAAAGGCATACCGGGATGAGCATTCAAAGTCGCCGTGGCATTCATGACGTCCCACACATTCAAATCCGGCCATTCCATAAGCTATGCGGCGATTAAGGCCAACAAAAATATAATTGCCGAGGCGTTCATATCTGGCGTTCGTGGGCGCGATTTTCAGATACAATGGCCGTCGCTGGGCTCTCAACCAGTGTTGTGCAAGGCATGATGACGTAATCCGAGCGTGGCGCATTGAGGAGGATATTTACTAAACAAATAATTGTACTGTCTAGAGCAGTCTTTTCCACTTGAGAAGCATACCAACGGTTAGAAATGAACTTGTTCCACCATATCTCATGTTTGCTTTAATATCTTCAAATGTGAAACATTCCTGATCATTCAGCGTAGTTCACTGCCCTGCTTTTGTTAAAGGCCTTGGCTCTTTTAGTTTCCGGACTACACGTCTGCGAAGATGTGCAGACTATTTCGAGGAGATTTTAAGATATCCCAGGCATTCATGACGCTACATTAAAATCACTCAAATCCTGCTATTATATTGGCCATACGGCGGTCAAGATAAAAAATATGATAGCCGAGTCGTTCATATTTTGCGTTTGTGAGTGTAATTTTCAGACATAACGGTCGTCAGTTGGCTCTCAATCAATGGTGTGTAAGGTACGATGACGTAATCAACCAAGGGCGCATCGATGAGCACGTTTGATGAACGGAGAAAATGTTTTGCAGAGAGCAACATTTTCCACTTAAAAGAATGTCACCAGTTATAAGTAAGCTTATGTCATCATATTCGATGCTTGCTTCAAGATCTTCAAATGTAGAACATTCTCATTAATTCGGGCGGAGGGTCAGCGGCCAAATGCCTTACCAGGGATGCCACGCCCATATGCTACAGTGAGGAGGGTAGCTGACAACACTTGGAGATCGATGAATGTTCAAGAACTAGCCAGGCACGTTGGAAGTGGTGTGTTACAGATCTACCATCACGGCCGCAGAGATTTGCACCATGTGATACGTTTTGTGGTTAATCTACGATTACCTTGTTTTTTTAATCGATGCGTAACGTTTGAGAAACGCTGTCAAACTGATCGCCTCTGGTCTTTTCAAGTAAGTGTAAACACTAATACGCCCATGCAGTGTTTAAGATATGAAATAAATCGTGATTTAAGCGAGATGTATTAGAAATTAGTCGGCCACACAAAACAAATCCCCGCTATGTTCCTGCCTCCTATCCGTATCCGCCAGCTGCCTGATCCGTCCCCCTATATACTTCTAGTATATAGGGGGACGGATCGAGCAGCTGCAGCTGATCTCAAGTTTGCTGCTGTGCAATACCTTTCATGGTTTATTAGTTCATGGAGAAACTACTTGCAGTTCTGTCAGTTGATCGAATACTCATTCAGTTCGTTGCTGGTCAGAAAGCGTTCTGAAAAGTTCGGCGGACACCAGTTTCGTGGTCATGCTTTATAGGGTGTTTAGACTAACCGCTTCCGCAGTGGGACGACGTGACGCGTTCGTCGTAAGTGGCACCATAGTCGCGCCGTCAAAACCATGTCTAATGTGATCTTTGTGGACTTGCCGAGAATGAACGGCATCGCCAACAGCTGCAGCTCTGCTGGCCACCAGGCCGCGGGCTGCGCCGCCATCAGCTATTTGTGTTGGGATTTGGTGTGCTGCTCTAGGCCTTGCAAATAAATAAGGTTTTTATATCATATTCATATTCACTTCGGTACAACGTCTCTGAGAGCGTGACGTATTTGGGAAATCAGAGTCCGCAGATAGCATGCTTTCTTCGTTGATCCCCAGTTTGACTTCCGGTCGTGTGAATGCGATCAGCTGTCTCTCAATGATCCGGTTGTCATCGGTTTTAATCGATTGAGAGAGGGATGATAACGGAATGGAGAGAGGAAAAGAGAGAGAGAGAAAGGGAGTGAGAGAGAGGGGAAAGAGACAGTAAGAGCGAGAGAGAGGGAGAGAGGGGAGAGAGAGAAAGAGACGAGACAGGGCGAGTGAGAGAGGAGTTAGGGGAAAGATAGAGTGAAATGGTTAAAAAATAAAAAAGACAGCGGAAAAACGTGCATAAGCACCTTCGACAGACACAAGTCTTAGCATAATTGCAGAAAGATATAATAGGAAGGTAAACTAGCCAAATCATTTCGTCAGTAAAACAATGTAGTGTACGCGCGCCCGTGCTGCCCGACTTCATCATACGCCACGACTTTTCCGATATCATCGAGCTTTTTACATGAAGAATTGCTCATAAAGCACGGCAATAAAAACCTATAGACCAATGGCTAATCAAGCGAGTGCCTAGATGCAATTTTAGTTGTCCTAGGCTATGCTGCACCACTCAAGCACATTACTATCCTCTCGAGTCGAATGCAAGCCGCTTTGGCCGCATGCTGTACCGTGATTATCATATCATGACCGGATCAGACTCATCGCATTTATAGCGTGTAGTGCAACAAGTGCAAACTTATCGTCTGAAGTCGTTTGGTCCTGTAGTCAAGATCGGAATAAATGCGTGGATTAGGGGCAGTTACAAAGCACATCTTTGTCATTAGACGAAACTACCCTCGCCAATGCTCGTAGATAGCTTGACTCCACCCGGTACGACTCAATCACAGTTATTACAGCCACAAAGTTTCCATGTTGAATGGTATGCCAGACTTTGCAACGGGAACAGGGTATTTGCCGCGTCGGTTAGCTGATGCCCGCGGCCGGCGGGGTGTGACATCGGCCTCGTTAGCTGCGCCTGGCTTTCGACCGGCGCTGCCGCTGTTCCCGCGCCGCTCCGAGCCACTGAATCACGCCGGCGTTTGGCCACAATGAGGCCTTTGTTCGCTCCGTTCCACTCTGACCGACTTGTCCACGGTCGAATGATGTGCCAATTTGCCGGCCGGACACCCGCTCTGCCAGCGCCAGGCAGCGGTCCGACTAGTGCTAGACACAGACTTTAGCGGCGCCAGACGGCGGTCCGACTAGCGCTAGACACAGGCTCTGGCAGCGCCAGACAGCGGTCCGACTAGCGCCAAGCAGCGACCGGGCCAGCGCCAGACGCAGGTCCTTTCAACACCAGACAGCGGCTCGGTCAGAACCAAACACAGGCTCTGGCAGCGCCAGACAGCGGCCAGGCCAGCACCAGACACGGGTCCTGCCGGCACCAGACAACTGTCTGACCAACACCAGACAGCAGTCCGACCAGCAACAAACAACGCGCAGGCCAGTACCGGACATCGGTCCAGTCAGTGCCAGACACCGGTTCGGCCAGTCTTTCCTCAAAAATGGATTGTGTGATTCGTCCGCCCAGATGGGCAGTACGCATATCATGGATATGCGTATGCATAGTACGCCTTGCTCGGCCCGTTACCTCCAATTGAGTGAGCGTGGGCGAGGGTTCTGCCGGTGGCGTGTGTCAGTCGAGAAGTACGACTTCTCTGGGTTCCAAACCCTCGAAGGAGCGAGACTGCTACCCGCGTGGGCCAGCCGACTCTGGCGGGGCTAGAGCCGGTCCGCGCAGCGCTTATGGCGAGAGCTTGCTTAGGCCGTCATCCCGAGAGCCGCTCCGCCCCGGCGGTGACGCCAGCTGACCGCGCTGGGCCGGGCCGGGTCTGACAGCCGGCCTGCCAACACGTCCGCCTGCCCACTGGAGCCTGTCGGCCCGCCGTGCCGACGCCGGACGAGCGCGGTCAGTTGGGCGGTCGGGTGGCCGCGGCGTGCCGAGCTGCGCGGACGCCGCTCGAGGCCGGCCGCAGGGAAGGCGGCGCCGGCAGCGGACCGCGTAGCCCCAGTCTATGCTTGGCGCGGCCCGAGAAAGTGGACCGCAGCAGGGGTGCGAAAAAATAGGGTCCCGATGAGTTACTAATTAGGGCCTCATGACTCGCCACCCGGCCGGAAAATAAAGTACAAAAATAAGTGTACTGCGCATGCGGCGCACCATTACACTGGCGCCGTTTTCAGCTGGTATAAGGTGTACCCGAGGCGCTGGTGGCGCGGCCAGCGCAGGCCGCTCAGTGCACCGTCCCCGTTAGCTAGTCTGCAAACAGCGCTGCTTGCGTTGGCCTCCAGTACGAGATGCATGACATGCTGATGTTTGTTTTATGCACCGTTTCCCAGGACGTGTGTTGTTTCATTGCGTGCCTTCAACCTCTTAAGCCAAATTGTGAAATGCGATTGGAATAGATGTGGGCCCTTTATGGCTTATTACACAGTATATCTGTCCTAGGTGTAAGAATAGGGCTACTACTGAGTGAGGAGGAGAAGGGGAGGACGAAGTTAAAGCACTCGACGCCATGATGCGAACAAAGAACGGGCTGTTCCTTTAACATGGATGGAGCATGCACCCGCTCCTTTGCTCTTTTATCGCGGATGGAACTTGCACCCGCTCCACTGTTTGCAAAAGTTTTACCATGACACTGTATTGCATGCATGTTGACGCAATGCCGTTTTGCCTCACTTATCAATCCATAACAACCCAGTAAATTTCCATCATTTTTCGGTCATCACCGAAGAAGACGTCAGTTTTTGATCCAGTTGATCGGAGGATGAGCATGACTATCCGAATGTTGTGTTATAATTGTGTGCTATAGGAGATCAACGTTACTTAGATGATGTCTGAAATAATCGAAAGTCACACGATAAGTCTGGGTGATTCATGGAAAGAGAGTGAATGTGTTTCCGCCCGCCATCCCCTGCCGCCACCACTCTGCACCCTTCCATATCCCGGATACATGTCTATGCCAGCATGGATATTTTGTGCGTGTGAACAACAGGAGCTTGTTAGAAATTCAAGGCGATACTGTAATTTAAAATTGTCATGCCTGCGACGGTAGTACAACGTTTGCGTGTGCCTTGTTTTGTTTTTTTCATGTGCGTGTGCGTATGTATGTGTGTGTGTGTGTGTGTGTGTGTGTGTGCGTGTGTCGGTGGCCGTGAGGCATGACCTGACAGCTCCTGGATGTGATGCATATGATGTGGTTGAGGGAGCCCGCCCGGCCTGGCAGGTCGGGCGGCGGTCACGCTGCCTCGTGTCTGTGTGCCTGTTTGTCTCTGTGTGTCCGCTGTGACCTGACACTGTTTCTGGTCGCGCCGCAGCTGGTGGGTGTCGGCATGGCGGCCCAGTGTGGTAGGTCAGGCGGCGGTCGGATGGCGAACCTCTGGGGCGATGCTCTGACCAGCCTGGACTGCACCGGCCCGGATGGCCACCTCTACCCCAGGTGGGCAGATACAAGCCGTAAGAGAGACAGACAGACGACGGAGAGATAGGAGAGAAGCAGAGATCGAGCAAGAGATGCTAGAGAAGGAGGAGCGAGGAGTGGCTAGAGACTGTCAGCGTTCTGTCTGGGCGATGTTTGCTGTTTGATACGTTGTCGCATTAAAAAGCTTGACGCTTATTTCATAGTCGTCAGAATATATTCATATATTCGGCTACATCCAGTCACGTGCAAAGATTCAGCAAAATCCTGGATTCTGCTGCCTGGATCTCGGGTCCCGAATTCCAGTCCATACAGGATCGAGCTCTGAAATGTTGCTTGAGGATCTTTTAGCATCCTGAACGAAGCTGCTAAAAAATGTAACCAGGGTGTCTGGTTAAGTTTGTTGCTTTACAGAATAAACCTTAAGAAGCCAAGAACGCTCTCATAATTTTTCTGAAGAGTACTCTGGAATCAAGGATCCGTCTAAGATTTTAAGCTGCCCGATCTTAATACCCTGAAGACCAATAAACACGTGTACAAAGTTGGTTAAGTGTGTTAAGTCTCAAATGGATTTTTGAAAATTGTGGCGCTTCCTCCCGTCCAAACTCCTGCTGGATATGCGTCCTCCTAGAGGCATGGGCGTGCACGTGCTGTCGGCTTCAAACCCCTGGTCTTGTCGCTTCCTGTTTTTTGACATTCGCATAGCTTAGCTCGATCGTATGAAATTCAAAAATTCTTGCAAATGTGATCTCTGGTCAGTTTTCTAAGAAACCCGGTTATAATCAAACAACTGTTTTGTAGAATGTAGTGCGGCCCTACAACATGACCTACTGATCCTCACCATGATCCTATGCTGATGTTTGTCTGTCGTCACAATACCTAGCAATGATGTCACAAAGCATCCCCCGCCCCGTCTATTGGTCGCATGCAGGGGGGGGGGGGGCGACCTGCATGACCCAGTCTCACCGGTCTCGACAGTGAGGGAGCTAAGTCCGACTTATTGGTTTACGGCAGTCTGTGTTCAGGGCATGTCGAACTGTAGACTTTTGCAGTTCGGTTTGTGAAAGGCTTTGCTAGCGCCAGTTTAGGCTATAAATTTTAGTCGCGAATGATCTTGAATTTATATTTTGTTTTCGAATTGAGCGAATGATTTTCTAAGGCCCGAGAAACATGTTTGGGTAAGACCAATCCGGGATCCAAGATCGACCTTTTGGGTCGTCAGTTAACCCACAGGGATCCGGCAAATGTTTCTGGGATTCACGCCACGTGACTGGATATGCCATTAGAAGCGGAAACCATGCTGGGACGCTGATATCAGTAGGCGTGTTCACAAACGATGCGGCTGTAGTGGTGATGGATGACATTTTGCAGGGAAGAAGTGGAAGCTATCGCCAGAAGCATGGCTCCCAAAAGGCGAGGAAGGAAGCTATTTCACACCAAAGACCCACTAGATATAAGAAAAGAGCTGCTCAACCAGTATAGCGCACTGCAGTATGGGTATCATCACGCAAAACTGCTACATAGAACTGGTGGGTTTGAGAAGTGTTTATCCTGAGACATCACTGTGTATCATTTAACGGGAAGTTTAACGTCTATCAGGTTCCAATGCATGCCACTGGATATAACCACGATAGGACAAGTGAATCTTGCCAGCCTAAGGCTCTGTGCCCACTCCTTACACTCCTCTCCTGGGAGTGCACTCCGAGCATCTCACTCCCTTTTCACACTGGAGAGTGTACAATGACAAAGCAGACGCGTGGAGCCTCTTATCATCACTGTTCACCTACAGCTCGAGAAATCAAGTCAAACAGCACGTCCAAAACCACCACGACGACGACCAGCAGCGCTACATCCACCACCAGCGCTACATCAACCACGGCTGCGTCAAAGCCAAACACTAACAAGTCGGCATCGACGGCGGGCAAGGACGAGCCCGCGTGCGCCGGCCCGCCGGCGCGGCTCTGCAAGACGCGCTACAACACGACAGCACCCATGTATGGCGTGTCGCTCACGTCCGGCAAGCCGGTCACCATCGTGCAGAAGTTCCCCGACCTGCTGCAGCAGGTCATCTTCGAGGTCTGCGAGTGAGTAGCGCGGGGCTCAGGCGGACGGGGTGGTGCGGCGGACTGGAAAAGCTTGTAGAACGTGCGTGCATTCCGTGAATTGGAACTGGGCTTGGGAGGCAGCCATTTCAGTTTGATACCGAAGTAACGGTGGGGATATCAGAGTTACGTTGTAGGGCTGTGCCATGGGGAAGGTGATGGAGAGTGTTTCGCTGTAAGAGCTCACATCATTATGTTGTGCAACAACATTTAAAGGAATGTGTGCAACCGTAAAATTCCCTCTTTTTGGGGACAAGACGCGTGGTTCTCCTCTGCGTGTTTCCCTAGAGAAGAACACTGGGGCTGTGTGTGTGAGTGGTGGAGTACGTGGGTTTCAGCTATCACGATTACCCGCATGCCTGCCTTGACGGTGACGGTGACGACGATATAACGGTGATGTTGACAGTAATGGTGAGCGGAGTTTTAGGTGTGAAGACCACTGTCTTTGACCTGGGTCAGTGGCGTAGCAACGTCTCACTAAGTGGGGAGATCATACTAATCTTGAAGTCGATTTTTTCCATGTTTTCTGATTTGTGATCTTTCCTTTCGTTGGGGTTTACGCCAAACATTCTATAAAAGCGGGCCATGGTCCCCTTGCAGACCCCTCCTCCTCCCCTGCAGTCCCTAAGTCTATGAGTTATGTCGCGCCCCGACCCACATCACTCAAGACAGCTTTTAACTTCCACGTTACCGATGATGCTGCGCGTCCTCGGTCTGACCTCATCAGTGGGTGACCTTGACCTGAGCCGCGCCAGTGCGTGACCATGACTGGACGCGCGACACTGCCGCAGGTCGGAACAGTGTGACGTGCTGCACGGCGAGTGCGTGCAGACGTACACGCCGCACCTGTTCCTGGTGATTCCGCTGGGACCGGTTACCTTGACGGGGCAAGATTACGTGCTGGTCGAGTCCGGCTGCGTGTGTCGACCCAAGTATACACTGCAGGACACGGCACTGCCGCTGGACGGCTTCAGCGGACAGTGAGGTGACGTCGTGCCGGTGACGTCATACCGGCGCCGGCGCGCCACCGACCGGCTGTGGAGGCGGCCGTGCGGTGACGGTGAAGAGACAGGTGGCGCCGCGGCGTGTTCGTCAATGGAAGCTGAGAGATGTGGAAAGTTGGCTAACATGATGTCGCGAAGAGACTTGCAACCGGTGATGCGCGCGTCGGAAAGTTTCGTGGGCGGGTGTCGCCGAACCCTGCTCTTGATGGATGTGTCTGTACAAACTGCGACGTCAGAACAGCTGGCTGCGGGACTCAGAACTCAGACAGTGGAGTACGGCAGGATGCCGAGGAAGGAAGACTATAGGCCCACTGAGTGGAAACATCAGCCTCCAGTGGTGCACGGCCTGTTCAATACTTCCATCGTCGTTCTGTCTGAGCATCCTGGTAGACTATGTAGCAGCCAGGATGTCGTGGGTAGCACCAACCCCGTAACCGTTCTGAACTGGGTCGATTAATACTAGTACCACCACGGCACCAATACCAAAAGGGCGCCACTGTTGTGGATGCCGTGACGAGATCTAAATGTCTCAGCCCCTAGGGCGGACATCTGCGCTAGCACTGGCCCTATTGCCTGACGCGGACGGCCTCAGTTGATACCGACTCTGCCGCCGGACTGAACCACGGGGGAGAAACTGACACCGTCACGATCCCAAAGTGTCTTCCTGTCGCCATGGATACGTTAACGGGAAGCCACCAGTGCGATTAAAGTTTAAGCTTCGCATGCGGTCCATGCCAGTGTTTTACATTGGTTGCTTGTCCTTCACAAAGGAGAACTTTTAAATGCATGATGTCGTAGCAGAACAGACGTTTGCAGTGAAATTGCATGCGTACATCTATGTGGATATGCGCATAGATCCGTCTATGTATTTTGTATTTTATCAGACAGTCGTATGGCTATCAATTGTACACAGCCGTGTTTCTTGTATCTGATCGCAAATGCATCATCGATTGGCAGATTGACGTTTAAGTGTGTGTGATCCCGCAATGAAAACATGCAACCGACCGCACGCTTGAGATATCATGATGCACCGAGAGATATCGAACGGATTCAGCGGTGGATTAAAGGACGGATTGATGGATGAATTTTTTCGGTGGGTGGGCAATAAATTTAATTTCGGAAGGTAATGGTAACCTTTGCGTTTCTAACCATTCCATTTGCGCTGCCAAGCGAATATATTTTCCGATGCAGAGAGTGGAGACAATTCAAATCACTTTACCTTAGGCTCTTATTACATCTATCTTGCACGGATATGCTTAGATCAACACGACTACAGATCCCTCCAATGCCAGTGGAGTTCTCTTGGGTTTGAACGAAGTTCAGTAACAGTACGGTAAATGCTTAAACTCAATGACCTAAAATGCACATTGCACAAAACTAACATCATGTTGCAAAGGCCATCTATTGCATCGGAGTTTGTGGCCGGTTCAACCAGCCAATATCAACTATTAAGATCCACACTCAGATCAAATAATATCACTTCCCTGGAAGGCACTGGAAACGACGCAAGAAAACAGTTCCCCACAAGAAATACGTTCAACAATCGCCACACGCCAAAGTGACGTAGGACGACTCCATGGCGCTGACCCTGCCACGAGGCGCAAACTGGCCCTCAGGAAATGTCCCTCACGTCCGTATCAAGCAACTTCCTGAATGTGGAACCGTAGCCGGTGCCGGCAGGCCGATTTGCGAAAGGAAACCTATGGCCGACGTTCGATGATGGAACGACCGCACCGCCCGCCGGCGCGCTCACTGTAGGTGGCAGCATCATTTGCACGCGGCTGTCGCAGGTGGCGCTCGCGACGGCCGGTTTGTAGCCGCCGGAGACCGGAGTCTCCGTCTTCGCGGTCGAGCTTGGTGTGCTCTTCTTGGTGGCGCCGGCGCTGGTCTCTGCAGCGAAAAAGGATCGGTGAGTTGGCAGGAGCTGGACCAATCAAGAAGGCGAGGTGGCGCGGGTAGCCTCCCTCAGAGGCGTGGCTTAGTGCAGCACGCGATAAACACTTCGATTCGCTGGGCTGCAGTATCAGGACCGGTGCTTATCGGACTGGTATTTGACCGCCACCAGCAAGTTTGCAGCTTGAGCCTAGCAAATGCAGCGCAGCGAACAATACCTTCCTGTAACATGTTACCAACTAGCCCCGTCAGGTCTCAGCTCTAGGCTAGCACATTCTACCTAGCACATACGAACCAAATCCATTAGTTACATAGCATGCAACGTGCACTAAACTCGGTACCATAAAATATTATCTGGTTCCTGGCGCAGATTTGACAACATTAAGTTCAGGATAGAATATATCGTGTTTGGTGCTTGGAAGTTACAATAACGAATCTATGCTGATTTTGCAAAATGCTTTATAACTAATGCCACATGCTATTCGTTTTACACTTTGAAATAGTCTGTTCATTTGCCTAGGCGTGCTTTGCTTCCTTACATGGCCATTTTCATTGGGGCAATATGACCTACTGACACGGCATTGCTAGAAATGATCGGCTCATGATTCACCTCGTGAAATTGTCGAAGAATGTGACTCAGCTCATGACTCAAAGCGGCATTTTTCCTAGTGAGCCGACTCAGCTCACGACCCAACCCAAAACGATAACCTTATGCGCCGATTCATGATTCAACTCCAGTCCAACACAAGTTTGGTTCTTACTTGGTAGCCTACAATTAATACTTAACGAAAGCACATGCCTACACAAAACAGATTGAACAACAACCATCGACGCCAAAGATAATAGCGATAAAGAAGAAAGTGGAGGCAAATGAGGAGAAAATAGAAAAAAGAAGAGGAGATCGAGGAGAGGTAGAAAAACGAAGGGCATGGTGGTGATGCAAAACAAAATATAAAAAACTAAATATGATTCAGCTGCTTGACTTGCCGTCTTTCTTCTCTTTGTCTTCATCTTTCTTTTTGCCCTTAGGCTTCCGTTTTCTGGTCTGAATGCCATCCTTTCTCATAGAGAGTGGCCGACGGATCCCATGCAGCTTGAAGTACAGGCCGCAGGCGTTGCACACCGGCTCACCTGGCGATGGGCCGAAATTGTTGTTACACACTGGCTTATGCAGAAACGTCATGGCTGTCGACCACGGGCTTATTCATAAAATGCGTCGTAATTGCCGAAGAGGGACGTCTGAAGGCAATGAATTCATTCAATACCCTTTGAACGCTATCTCCTCCTAAGACACGCGAGGCATTGATCATGATAACGCAGCCTGCATTATTAACAGAACCAAGGCTATCCACAGACCACGCTATGAACAGAACCAAGGGTCCCACAGACCACGCCATGAACAGAACCAAGGGTCCCACAGGCCACGCTATGAACAGAACCAAGGGTCCCACAGACCATGCTATGGACAGAACCAAGGGTCCCACAAACCACGCTATGAACAAAACCAAGGGTCCCACAGACCATGCTATGAACAGAACTACGGGTCCCACAAACCACGCTATGAACATAGCCAAGGGTCCCACAGACCATGCTATGAACAAAACCAAGGGTCTCACGGGCCACGCTATAAACAGAACCAAGGGTCCCACGCTATGAACAGAGCTGAAGAAGGTCCCGGATCATGTGATAAACAGAGAATTGTGTTCCGTCTCAAGGGATCTGAAGACACAAAAGACTACGAGTCCGGCGAGGAGCAGCAGGTGGCGCTGAGGAGCAGCCGAGGAGCGGCTGGTGACGCTGAGGAGCAGCCGAGGAGCGGCTGGTATCATTGAATACTGATGCTAGGTGACGGGCTGACCAATGCCAAAGCCAGGCGCCGCGCCCATCGCTGGCGTCTCCGGGTTACATACGACACTGGCCAACGGGCGCCCATATCGCCTCATGCCCTGGCCAACTAATGACGAGATTGCGTGATCCCCTGTGCGGTGAGTATCCACACAACGCGCTGCCCTCGCCAACGAGTGCGTACACTAGCTGAAGCCTAGACCGACGAGTGCCCACAGAGCGTGATACGCTGACCAACGCGTGCCTACACAGCGTGATACGCTTGCCGAGTGCCCACACAGCGTGATGCGCTGGTCAATGAGTGTCCGCACCGTGTGAAGCGCCGGTCAATGTGCCCACACCGCGTGGTGCGTTGGCCGACGAGTGCCCACACCGTGCGATGGGCTGGTCAATGAGTGCCCACCCCGTGTGAAGCGCCGGTCAATGTGTGCCTATACCGCTAGATGTGCTGTGTAATGAGTGTCCACATGGCCGATGGGCGCAGAGCACCCACACCGCGTGATCGCCGTACTGACCGTCTGCGTTCCGTCGCCACAGCGTTGTCTGCGTGGTGCCGCAGTTGGTGCACATGGAATGGAAACGCCTGGCGAACGGCGACTGAAACACAGGGGTCGAGCCGTGGTGATGAAGGCAAGCCGATGCTTCTACTTCCGCGCACGAAACAGAGGCTGGAGGGTTAAGGCAATGCAGCAAAAAATTTAAGTCACTGCACGGGCTGCTGCCATCAAACATCTAACGGCTAATGATGTCAGACAGGTTCTTAATTGACAGGTTCTGTGCTTCCCAGAACCTGCGGCGGCCTCTGGTGGCTTGACTGTCGGCTCCATTGACAGGTCCTATGATTCATAGTACCTGCGGCGGCCTCTGGTGGCCTCACTGTCCGCTATCCACTGACAGGTCCTATGGTTCACAGTACCTACGGCGGCCTCTGGTGGCATCACTGCGCGCTATCCACTGACACGTCCTTTGATTCATAATACCTGCGGCGGCCTCCGGTGGCCTCAGTGTATGCTATCCACTGACAGGTTCTATGATTTATAGTACCTCCGGTCGCCCAGAACTTAGTGGCCTCACTGTCTGCTATTAGGTTTTGGACGGTCGCCCATGGTACGTTAAACAAAACAACAAAAAAACAACAACAAAGCAACAACAACACTTGCTTAGGCGACGTTAGAACCAGTCATCTATAAACAGAGCTTGACATGACTGGTGACCATTATCAGTGTCATGCATCCTGCCCTGCAAAGCCTTGGGGAACCGTTTCGAGTTAATATATGCGGCTGAAAAGGTGCTTTTTATATTTTTGTTTTTTTTCGTGCTACTATGGCTTTTTAAAGTTTGGCATAACATTGAGATCGGCGCACTGGAAGCACGGTCTTTCGTTGTGCATGGTGGAGCCGATTACGACTCGATTCCGACCTCGAGTTCCGGATCCGCCAGGTAAAACGGCCTTGATTCAGCCCTCACACGTAACACCATAGCCTTTGAAAGGATGAAAGGGGTCATTTTATATGCTTTTTGGGTCCGCCTGCCCCCTCCTCTCCCCTTCCTTCCAACACTGTGCTGCGTCTAAAAGCCGCTTCACGTCACCGGAATGACATGGCAACATCCGCAAGACCCTCAACGTCTATTAAACCATCGTGACTTCACCGTGAGTCACCTTGGGTGCTGATCACAAAATAATGCGTGAATCTCTTCAGTATGACATATTTCAAGGTACTGGATGTTTATCAGCGCCTTCTGGCGTATTATGGACTAAATTTTAATTTGATGAGCATTATACGACAAGTTGACCTGCAATTCCCGTTCAATTATAATTCCAAGTCAGAACATGGCATGATGAAGGAAATACACAGAAGAAAACGATAATAGCTTGGCAATGAAAAACCCATTTTTAAGAAAGCCGCATTGTGTAGGCATTATAAAGGCCCTAAATGGTAATGTAAAGAAAGTTGAGTTATAGCGTCATTATTGGATTCCTATGTTTTTCCAGCACAACAATTTCCCGAATCGACGTCCCCTTCGATTCGTTAGAAGACTCGGTTTTCGGAATCACCCATATTTTCCAGATTGGAAACCACCGTCAAAAGAGCAGTGGTGGCTTGCTGTGCAACTGCGCAGCGCGGATGCACTCCTAGCCGGGCGGAGCGGCGCGGGACGGCGCTGTCTGCAGGCCGGCCTCGTGTGCCACCCAGCGCTCTGTCGGCAGGTCCGGCCGGCGCTGGTGTGCCGGCAGTTTTCGCTCCTCCCGCTCCCCCGCTAGTCCAGAAAGACGACTCAGACGGCTGGAGCCATTGTTTGACAGATGATAACGTCACGCGTACCACCCTTCTCCCCCACACTCAGTGACGTCTCAGCTGCGGCTCACCTAGCAGCGCCAACTTGTCTGGCTAGACGGTCATGCGTGCAATCATTATGAGAGGGTTGCTTTCTCTCACATGGAAGCGTTTGCGCTAACCCGTATAGCTTGAACAGGTTCGAACTAGCAGGTGTGTGTGTGTGTGTGTGTGTGTGTGTGTGTGTGTGTGTGTGTGTGTGTGTGTGTGTGTGTGTGTGTGTGTGTGTGTGTGTGTGTGTGTGTGTGTGTGCGTGCGTGCGTGCGTGCGTGCGTGCGTGCGTGCGTGCGTGCGTGCGTGCGTGCGTGCGTGCGTGCGTGTGTGCGTGCGTGTGTGTGCATGCGTGCGTGCGTGCGTGCGTGCGTGCGTGCGTGCGTGCGTGCGTGCGTGCAATAGACTGATGCTAGATAAACCGACTCACATTCATGCAAATATCTGATTTGGTGATAGGGCATTTCATTATATCGGCTAAGCCCTCAACCCAGCCGATTCTACCGAACAACAATGCCAATGTCAAGGGAAATCAAGGGCGACGTCATGCCTATGTCAACAGGAATCACGGATATTGCTTTACTTAAGCAGAAGCAGACAACACTGCAGAACAACCTTTACGGCATAAGGAGTCACTTTTAACAAATGCAGAACAGATGAAGCATTCATTCTTGTGGGAATCAGACATGACGTCACAAGATGCGAGCTTCTCTTCGTTCTCAGCGGCACACACCTGCACCTGAACACTCACCCCTCGCCTGGCGTTGTACAGGCGAGCTGGCGAAATGCCCTTCCACTTGGGACTGCAGAAGCAGGTGCCACAGAGGAAGTGACCCGTGCCGTCAGGGTAGCAGGACTGGGTCACTGTGCCGCACTGGACACATTCACGAAAGTCTGCAACGGGATATAGCCTCAGTTACAACCATGAAACACCTCACTACGTAGCGCCGTTATAAATCCGCCAGCGTACTTATGTCATATTTATCAAAACCTTGAAGCATGCAGTGTCTCACTACAGTTGTAATCCATTCCGGTCTGGAGCCATAATGAGTTGAGCGCTGAGCGCCAGTAGCAGGCTCCGAGCCGCCTCCCTCCTCACCATAAGCGCCGCGCTGCAGGGTCTGCAGGCCCGTCATGTTGTTGCACGCCCAGGGGTTGACGTTGCCGGCCGGGTAGCTGTAGCCGCCGAAACCTTGCGACATGGTCGGCTGGGTCATCTCGCGACCGGAGCCCAACTTAAAGCCGCCGAAGTTTACCGCCAGGTGTGAGTTGTCGGAGTTGGTCTGTGGCGCCACTGTTTGCCACCTGGAACCGGCGAGGAGCTTGTTACAGGCATGACATCGGTGGTGCGAAGTCACCACCTACCGGGTAAGCCCCGTGTGTGATGCAGAATTGGTACTGTGCGCCGAGGGCATGGGAACAAGTGGTGACATCGCGACATCGCTCGCATGCAAACATTAATACTCGACACCAGCCACCACGTGACGTGATGCGCGTATCAACATCCACTGGCCTGCGAGCATCACGCGGTCGGCATGTCTACGTCCTCTGATCATCAGCACGCTCTCTAGTGTGCACATCCCCACCCCCCTTTCCTAGGTCGGAACATCCACATTGATGTCATTGGGGCTTTACGACGCACTCAGCTGCTGTGGCTACATGGCGTCGCCCGTCTCTCACCCTGGCAGGAATGGAGGATACCACGGGAAATCGAACCCCGCATTTCTTCTGTCCCAGACGCACAGATCAGCCACTACGTTATCAGCACCCTTGGACATCATGCTGTTCTGCAATGGCCGCATTGCAAATAATCTGCTAATATTTGAAGCGTTCTCATCAGGAAGGCAGTGAGAGCTTCCTACTTCTCGAGCTTTCAACAGCTAGGGTCGTACTTCTTCTCGTCGCGCGACCGCAATGAAGAGTGGCGACCCCCCCCCCCCCTCTCTGACCGCGTTGCCGTCACTCCGCTGATCTGCCCCGCACCAGTGTTCAAGTACCCGCTGACCCACCTCTCCGGTTATGAGGCCCGGGCTCCCCAGTGTCCCGCAACTTCACCCCTCGCTGGCACATCTCCTCTCCTCTCCCTCCTCCGGCACACCTCTCCTTCTCCTCCTCGCCCGGCACACCCCTCCTCCTCCCCCGCACCCGGCACACCTCCCTCCTCTCCCTCTCCCGGCGTACCTCCCCTCTTTCCCCTTGCCCGATACACATCCCTTCCTCCCCTCCTCCCACCCGCCCAGCACTCCTCCCGTCGCTCGGCACTCACCCTCCGCTGGCTCCGGCCGCGCCGCCGCCAGCCGGCGCGGTCATTTGCGCACTCTGTGCCGCCATCTGAGAGAACCCGAAGATCTGGTGAGCCGGCGGCACGCAAACAGGGCTGGGGAAGTAGCCGCCGCCGCTGGCGCCGCCCTCCAGGCCGTACCCGCCGGCGTTGTGCACTCCGCCGTGGTACATGGCCGCTGGCTGCAGTCGCCACGAGCCGCGGGCTCGCCGGTGAGACGTGAGCCTCCCCGCGACCGATCAGTGGAGACGTGACCTTCACCGCAGTCGATCGGCAGAGATGTAACCTTCACCGCGGCCGCTCAGTGGAGACGTGACTTTCACTGCAGCCGATCGGCAGAGATGTGACCTTCACCGCAGCCGATCGGCAGAGATGTGACCTTCACCGCGACCGATCAGTGGAGACGTGACCTTCACCGCAGCCGAGCGGCAGAGATGTGACCTTCACCGCAGTCGATTGGCAGAGATGTGACCTTCACCGCGGCCGATCAGCGGAGACGTGAACTTCGCCGCAGCCGATTAGTGAAGACGTGACCTTCACCGCAGTCGATCGGCAGAGATGTGACCTTCACCGCGGCCGATCAGCGGAGACGTGAACTTCGCCATTCCTGATCAGTAGCACTGAGGTGAGCTTCAACACTCCTGATCAATACAGAGGTGAGCATCGCCACTCCTGATTAGCACAGAGGTGAGGTTCACCGCCGCCACTTAGCACAGACGTCAGCTTTATCACATGCCATCGCCAGATGCACGAGGTTTGAGACTTTCAGGTAGTAACACAGTAGCCTTCAAATGCGCAATGAGTAGATACAACCGCACCAGGAGAGCAGAACTTCAGCAGGTGTGTCGTGCGGTGATGTGACTTTGTCACGTCCAGTGTCAAATGACGTAACTTCAAACACATCCGAAATGCGATGGGTGAGTTATGTTGTTCCTGGTACTCTGAGGTGTGAGATTCGTCATATCCATTGAGGATTCACGTAGGTTTTGTTGACTTAATTCACCAGGGTATCTGGATTGCGTCTGAAACAAGAATTTAACGTTAGATCAGCTGACAGGAATATTACATTCTCGGAGGCAAAACCGGCTTTATCCAGTGAGTTTCCCTCTTCTGTCTATAGACCTAGTCATTTCAAGAGCCTGAAAAGTCACAAGGTGTTGACGTCGCGCCCGATAACAGCGGTAGATGTCGCCAGAGTGGCATAGTGTACCGCGGCCACTGGTTAGCTACAGCTACCAAAGATACACGATAAGGGCAAAAATATTGCAAACGCAGAGCTTTGTAACACACCACATTTGTAGAAGCGGGACAGTTGGGTCCATGCCACAAAGAGCAAAAAAAAAGCACTCGGATTTTTGTGCGTATCAACTGAAACCAGGTTGCAGCGGGGTATATAATGACTTCATGTGGTGGACGTCATATGCCGCAATGCTAGACATCATATGCTGCAATGATAGACACCACATGCTGCATAAGATATCTGCTATGGATTTGCGTAGTGAAAGCACAAGCCGCATTTCATGCTATTTTGCAACATTTTAGCTGAAATGGCGCCTGTATCGTGTTGTATTTTTTTGCAAATACATCTTTAAGATTCCCCAATTGAGAGCACAGCTTAGAAGTTTCACCGAATATCCAGCTTACCGCGTCGCAAGCCCGCAAAAGCTATGACATGCGATAAAGCATCATTACATGTTCATGATATATTCGTTTTTACGCGCACATCTCTAATTCTTAATTGTCAATATTCATTCAAAAAATAAGAATGACTATAAGAGGTATGATAGAGTGGAAGGAGGAAAGGAAGTACCCCGTGAGACACTGCACGGATGCCCATTGCATGTTCACTTCAATTATATTGCAGACAGTCTTCTGACTTGGTTGAGACGCATGCACATCTCGCGAATTCAAGTAGCTGTCATGCATCGACATGCCTCAAAGTGCTTAGCCGCGTAACGTGAGATGTTTAGACATCAAGCGAAATGGGCTGTCGTAAACCTGATTAGCATAACTGCATCTCAACGGGTAAGAAAAGTGCAGTTACCGGCTGGACCATAGGCACTGGTTACAGTTAAAATTTCACTCATGGAAGATCGACACAAGAATCAGCAGGACGCGGCGACTGGCCGGGGTAAGCCCGCCGGGCCGGTGGTGTGCCCGCGGGTCTCGGCCCGTCAGCAGCCGCCGGGCGCCGCTCCGTTCCGGCCCGCGTCCTTTCGTATCCGGCCGCCGCGCCGTCTGTTTATTTGGCCGGATCACAGCGGCACGCGGGAGCGGCTGGCAGCCACCCTTGGCCGCCAGCGGTGACCCTCCCACGCGGCCTCCGAGACCAGCTGGCGCCCTGCGCGGGCGCCACCCCTGACTGCTAGTGGTAACCCTTCCACGCGGCCCCGGAGACCAGCCAGCGCCCCTGCGCGGGCACCGCCCCTGGCCGCCAGCGGTGACCCTTCCACGCGGCCCCGGAGACCAGCCATCGCCCCTGCGCGGGCACCGCCCCTCCCCACACGGAGACCCCGCGACTTCCGCTTCTCAACGTTCGCCGGTCTCGTCCTCCGCGCGTCAGGCGGCCAGCTTCGCAGAGACGCGGCGCGTTCGCCGAAAATGTCCTCGTGCCCGGATGCCCTCGTGTTTCGTGCTCGTACCCCTCGCGCGCGCTCCGCAGCCGTCCGTGCAGTCAGTTCTACGCCGTCGGCGACGCGGTGCGCGCGCGCTGGTGGCTCGTCGTCGCGTCGGTGTCGACGCCGCGCGGTTGAGCTCCATCGTCCGCTCCGCCAGCGAATGGGAGAGCCCACGCAGCGCTCCGGCCAGTCGGCTGCTGACGGCTGTTTAAACGCAGGACGGGGCGGGATTATGGCGACGGCTCGCGCGACGCAGGCCGCATACAGAGCCCGCGGGACGGACTCGGTCAGATGCGCCTCGTCGCTGGAACTGGAGGGGAAGGGTACGATGGACTGATGCAGTGCAGAGCTGGAACTGGAGGGGAGGGGTACGACGGACTGATGCAGTGCAGACACTTTGGCGAGCTCCACTTAGAAATGTGGCGACGTTTGCGGGAGACGAATTCGTTTGCAAACGCGTGATTGGGGATGAGGCCCGTTACCTAGCTGAACATGTCTGAGTGTTTTGATAAGATAACGTGTTCAAAACCTGTAAGAACATGATGCAAAGGTAAACGGAAGTCTGCTAGGCCTCATGGGATAAGCTCTGGTTTATGAGGCATGGCCGGCATGTTGAATACGCACCTTTTATTTGTTAATTTTGTTGAATGCGCACCTTTCATTTGTAGTTTTTGCTGCTACACGTTGGTAGTTCCCATTTTCTGTCGTACAGTAGTAAAACTTACTTTTCATTTGGGGCACCCGCCGCCCGCTGAGCTTCGAAAAGAAGGTGAATCAAATTCGAGGAGAGGAGGAAGAGGGAGTTTGGTGGTGTGTTTGTGGTTGGGCTGCGTAATTTGTCACTGCTCAGTGCTCCCAACCTATTTTGCGAAACTATGCCCTGGTCTTATAGTTATACAACTTTATGCCAAGCTGAAAAACCGTCTGGCCCTGCTTTAGCCTAAAACTGAGCACCGCTGTAATGCTTCCACCCATGGAAAGGTAGTGTATGAAAAAGTATGTGCCGTGGAGCTTTTTGTAGCTATTGCTGCACTACCATGCGTATCACGATCAGCCGTCCTAATCATGGCTGAATCGGGTTCAACATGCGGAACAGAGCGCTGCTTAATTTGAGTCACTCTCGGCGCTTGCTTTACGCGGCAGTGTAAAGGGATTTACACCACTCATGCTTGAGCACGGATATACTTTGTGCATTTCTTGCTGGCTGTTGAACGTAATCTAGGGTTGTAGTTATGGCGTGGAACTAGTTGGCGTGGATGGAACGATGGAGTGGTTAAACGCAGTGGCAGCACTCCATTTCAACTTCAGTTCCAAGCAGAAAAAATGTTTCGACGGCAAAACATCAAACGTGGACAACTGCGTCAGTGGCATATCCAATTGAAGGTTTGGCTGAGGAGCAGGACCATTCGCTGCGATAGCTTAGTTGGAGCGGTATCGGGAGCGATAAACATCCGATACGAGGAGTCACGCTATCTCGCAAGCGCAGACAGCGGCCAGCCAGACTCAGCTGGTTGCGCCGACGCATCCGTAATTCAATATCCGTCAATTTGTGAAAGCCGTGCTCGTCGGCTGCAGCACATGGCGCCCGGTTTATTTAGCGGTCCAAGAGAGCACGCCAATACCGCAGCGCGGCAGCCGGGCAGTGTCAGTGGCGCCTGCTAAGTGGTAGCTGACCTCGCATGTGGTCAGATCCTTGCAACTCGGGACTTCTCTCGCGTGAGGTTCCGTTATGACGCCGTCTGGCCAATGTTTTGTAAACTGGTGTCTTACCGGTACGGATTCGCTTGGTTTCGATAAGAGCCTTTTCGACCAGCAATAAGCCTTTCAGGGCTAAGGGATGAAGGGAAGTGGATAACGGTCGTGTATAAATGTATGCGCACATGGGCTCCTTCGCTGAAGCCCAGCCTTCACAGAGACCAGTTTGGGGTATGTGCTCGGCGCTCGGACGGGGCCCCCGTCAGGAGCACCCATAGCACCCATATGTGGCGTACGTGGCTTGCCCCGGATGAACGGGGCGTCGCGCCGATGCAGAATGAAACGAGAATGAAGAAAGAATGGTGGAAACCGGTAGGGACCGCGTGAGAACGTGCCAAGACCTGACATCGTAGAGGTACTACCGAGCTATCTCGCGTCGTGCGTTGCAGTCCACAGGCTGAGTTATGGTTTGTTGTGCCCGTCCTTCAGGCGGAGTGTCTCAAAAGCCGAGTCACGACACGGGTGCCCTGCCTTCCAGCTGAGTTGCCGCGCGTCGAGGAGGACAGTTCAGCACTGCAAGCCTGCCACAGTTGATATCACACAGCGAGGACGGCGAGAGCAGTCTGGTGGCGAAGAGGACAGTTTAGCGCTGCAAGCCTGCCACAGTTGATATCACACAGCAAGGACGGCGAGAGCAGTCTGGTGGCGAAGAGGACAGTTTAGCGCTGCAAGCCTGCCACAGTTGATATCACACAGCAAGGACGGCGAGAGCAGTCTGGTGGCGAAGAGGACAGTTCAGCGCTGCAAGCCTGCCAAAGCTAACATCACACAGCGAGGACGGCGAGATCAGGCGGCTGATCCTGGCCCGCGCAAGGAGCATATGGCTCACCGGGCTGCTTTGTGAGCCACGAAACTGACCCGTACAGACGCCATATACGAATGTAAACACCGACAAGACCACGAGAGCACCTATCAGTTGCTGATCATCGCCCTGTTCCGGTAACAGCTGACTCGGACGGCGACATCTGTTGATACTTTGCGTGCTCAGGTTGCAAAAACGGCAGAAAACTAATTTGCAAGCTATCGCATCGTATAGTAAGAAGATTGTCAGCGTTCTGCAGATATAGCTTCATGATCAGACATAGTTGAATACAATCGGCAGTAAGCATTCTGTAGACCCAACCACATATGAGTTGGATGTCTACTCCGAGTCATTTACTAAAACCATGGACGCTAAGTGAAAAATCACCTTTATTATGATAATTGACGGCATTTGGTGGCGTTGGCATGGTGGTACAACGTTAAGGGTTGTTACGCCTGTGTATAAATGCACGCACGATTATTATCGCTGGCAGCATGTAGAAATAGCGTCGTTGACAACCAATGCAACGATTATATTACTGGTACATAACAAAAAGATTACACCCGAAATAATCTAAACTGCTGCTACAACTATACAGAGTATTCATCGGGAAACCGGCGGACTAAAATTTATGTGCAGCGGGCTTCAGGTGTGGGGTTTCCCAAAACACTCTAAAATATTTTACCATCTTGGTTGCAAAAAGTCCTTTCGAACAGCCGCGTTCTATTATCGCTGCACGAGGGTGTGACAAAAAGGCGTGGGTTTACCAGTGGGATATGTGAGCTGCCAGTAGATTATTCCACCCTTTGTTCAAGCTTATAAATCAGCCCAGCCGTGTACGAGGAGA